CCTCCAAGGGTGCCCAGAGGTCCGGGGACGTTCGGAGGAGTCGCCGCGCGCTGAATATGGAAATTTTACGAGACGATGATGTTAATGTCATTCCAGCGACCGGGGACGGACGGGGCTCGGTGTAAAATTGACCTTCGACACTCCTGCCCCACGCACAAACACTCACTCTACAATCAATCATATTTTTAAAAAAAATCCGATGCTAATCGCATTGCAAGTTGTTTGTTTAACACCTTTGTTACGGAGTGCGATTAGCCGCCTTAGTTTGGGAGCGGTATTGCAGCAAAGTTTGTCGAAACGGTAACAAATGTGTAGAAATCGTCGTTTGGGCTGACTTTAGGCAGCCACTGCATCTAATCTAAGGCGAATAATCGTTCTCCCTCAACGGGTGGGTACTCTTTGGGCCTTCCTTTAGAACACCTTTGTTACGGAGTACGATTGGCCACCTTAGTTTGGGAGCGGTATTGCAGCGAAGTTTGTCGAAACGGTAACAAATGTGTAGAAATCGTTGTTTGGGCTGACTTTAGGCAGCCACTGCATCTAATCTAAGGCGAATAATCGTTCTCCCTCAACGTGTGGGTACTCTTTGGGCCTTCCTTTAGAACACCTTTGTTACGGAGTGCGATTGGCCACTTAGTTTGGAGCGGTATTGCAGCAAAGTTTGTCGAAACGGTAACAAATGTGTAGAAATCGTCGTTTGGGCTGACTTTAGGCAGCCACTGCATCTAATCTAAGGCGAATAATCGTTCTCCCTCAACGGGTGGGTACTCTTTGGGCCTTCCTTTAGAACACCTTTGTTACGGAGTGCGATTGGCCACCTTAGTTTGGGAGCGGTATTGCAGCAAAGTTTGTCGAAACGGTAACAAATGTGTAGAAATCGTCGTTTGGGCTGACTTTAGGCAGCCACTGCATCTAATCTAAGGCGAATAATCGTTCTCCCTCAACGGGTGGGTACTCTTTGGGCCTTCCTTTAGAACACCTTTGTTACGGAGTGCGATTGGCCACCTTAGTTTGGGAGCGGTATTGCAGCAAAGTTTGTCGAAACGGTAACAAATGTGTAGAAATCGTCGTTTGGGCTGACTTTAGGCAGCCACTGCATCTAATCTAAGGCGAATAATCGTTCTCCCTCAACGGGTGGGTACTCTTTGGGCCTTCCTTTAGAACACCTTTGTTACGGAGAGCGATTGGCCACCTTAGTTTGGGAGCGGTATTGCAGCAAAGTTTGTCGAAACGGTAACAAATGTGTAGAAATCGTCGTTTGGGCTGACTTTAGGCAGCCACTGCATCTAATCTAAGGCGAATAATCGTTCTCCCTCAACGGGTGGGTACTCTTTGGGCCTTCCTTTAGAACACCTTTGTTACGGAGTGCGATTGGCCACCTTAGTTTGGGAGCGGTATTGCAGCAAAGTTTGTCGAAACGGTAACAAATGTGTAGAAATCGTCGTTTGGGCTGACTTTAGGCAGCCACTGCATCTAATCTAAGGCGAATAATCGTTCTCCCTCAACGGGTGGGTACTCTTTGGGCCTTCCTTTAGAACACCTTTGTTACGGAGAGCGATTGGCCACCTTAGTTTGGGAGCGGTATTGCAGCAAAGTTTGTCGAAACGGTAACAAATGTGTAGAAATCGTCGTTTGGGCTGACTTTAGGCAGCCACTGCATCTAATCTAAGGCGAATAATCGTTCTCCCTCAACGGGTGGGTACTCTTTGGGCCTTCCTTTAGAACACCTTTGTTACGGAGAGCGATTGGCCACCTTAGTTTCGGAGCGGTATTGCAGCAAAGTTTGTCGAAACGGTAACAAATGTCTAGAAATCGTCGTTTGGGCTGACTTTAGGCAGCCACTGCGTCTAATCTAAGGCGGATAATCGTTCTCCTCACTGGTTTGGTAGGGGGAGGGAGAAGGAATCCTCAGATCTCGGACAATAGAGGTTCTTGGGAACCCCTAAAAAAGTTGGATTTTACCATTTTCTTCGGTGCACCTTCCCGGAGCGTTGACAGAGCTCGCCGACCTGACAGCTCGATTAAAACCCTTCCGCTATTTTTAGGACGCGCCGCGGAGTGAGACGAGTGCGCGCTGCGCTCCTAGCGAGAAGAGAACCCCACGCTCCGCGTAGCTCCGCGCGATGAATATTCAGCGGAAACGCCCGGTAGGTGGCGCCACCGCGGCGGGGCGGGGGTGTCTGCGACGTCCTTCGGCGTGTTGGTGACGAGGACGAGGACGACGACGACGGGGAGGGTGCCGCTGCACAGAGGGCGGCGATGGCGGCTGATTCGCCAACTTTCTCGGCTGACCTGGCCGAACGCTTACGAAGGGTCGTGTCGTCGCCCTGTCTCTCTCGCACCCTTAAGGGCCTAAGGGCCGCCCCAGGAGTGCGAGAGAGGCAGAGTGACGGCTCGGTCCTTGTGAATGAGGCGTCTGCATCGGAGGGTGCATGTGCATGGCGGCGAAAGGCGAAACAGAAGCGGCGAGGCGGAGCGAGGCGTGGCGGTTCGGGGCGGCGGGGACCAGCGGGGACGTGCCGGGGCAACGCGTCCAGCTAATGAGCCTGTCAGCGGCACCTGATGGGGCCCAGGCCCGGCCCAGGCCCGGCCCAGGGCTGGCTCCGGACAGCGCTTCGACGCGCCGTCTCTCTCGCACCCCTGGCACTGCTGGCACACGCCCCGCGGGTGCGAGAGAGACGGCGCGATGAAAGGCCGCGCTGTTCGCAGTCACATAACTGCACCGTGCGGGCTGTAGAGTTACGGGGTGACGCAGCGCCCCGCCCCGCCCCGCCACGCCGCACCTGCACCGGGCCCGCTTCCCAGGACTGTCGCACCACTGCCGCGGCACTGCCATGACACTGCCGACGAAAAGACGAAAGGACGCCGGGCGCCGCCACGCCACTGGTGGGCACCCCGTCGGCATGGCGGCCCCGGACAACGACAATGGCCTGCCCGATTTGCATGGGAAGGCCGCGGGGGCGGGAAGCCCCAAGCCTTCAGCGGCCCCTTAAGCCGTGTCCAGAGGGACGCGTTAGAAAAGGATCATCGCCTGTTTCGACCAAGGACCTCCATCAGTGGCGAAGTTTTAGTTGACACTGCCGCCGGGTGACGCTTCACACGTTTTGGCTCGCATTTAGCCTGCATAGGCCTCCAAGAAATTGGCCCCACACCTACGGCTACCACCCCTTTGCTACGCCACTCTGAGCTCAGCAGGCTGTCGCTGTCTCTCTCGCACCTGTACAGGACGCCCCCTGAGTGCGACGGAGACAAGAGCGGCGACTAGTACTCTCCATGACCCCAGCCCGTGCCCGTCTGTGCTCCGGACTGATTCCGAACAGTTTCGCCGCTGTCTCTCTCGCACCGCTGCACTGGACGCCGTACGAGTGCGAGAGAGACAGCGCGACGAAGGCGCTGTCGGCGCACAGGTGCAGTCCCAGCCTGTTAGAGCGACCCGGCTAAGAGGAAGGAGGAGGGCGGTGCGATCCGGGTCGTCGGAAGCGGATTCGTGGCTACCCGGTTCGGTTCACTCGCTCGGCTTGGACTGGGCAGCAGTCGGTCGACCAGGAGACTGATTCCGAGAGTAGTTTTCGTCGCTCTGTCTCTCTCGCACGTATACGAGACCCCCATGAGTGCGAGAGACAGAGAGAGAGTGACGTAAACGACTGTTTGACTCAGGCCTCGGTGCTTCACCTGCCTTGTGTGCTCGACTTGCTCGGTTCGACCAAGCTCGCCCCCCAGCGAGCGGATTCACTACTAGCTCCACCGCGGCGGGCAGGCAGCACATATTCTCCATGCAGGCAGACTGCAGCATCCGGACCGTCGCCGCCGTCACCGCCTCCCAACTGTCGGATGGGTGGCCTACCCGGCAGGCGCTCGCATCGCCGCCTTGCTCCCGAGCGCCCTGGAGTCAAGAGCCACGCTCGGCCACGCTCGGCCACGCTCGGCTGCGCTTGACTGCGTTCCGACTCGCAAACGCGTAAACTAGCCACTCCCCGCAGGTGGCAGGTAGCCGCAAGCAGGGCGTGGCGGCAAAACGCGCTCGGCGGCGCTATTTTTCTTTTCGCTCACTGCCGCGGCGATTACAGTGTCTCGGATAGAGGATAGAGTTTTCGCGGTTTTGCTCAGCCTGCTGTTGCCTGGCGCTGTGCTCTGTACGCTGATTCCGGAGGACCGCCTTGCCTCCCTGTCTCTGTCGCACGCAGCATCGCAGGGTATCTCGAAGGGGCGCGAGAGAGACAGAACGACGAGAACGACTCTTCGGCATCGCTCCTCTGTTGTCCGTCCTGCCCTCTGTTGGCGCCTGACGCAGGCAACCCTTCCGGCGTTGACGTCAGCTTCTGCGCTGGCGAGCGACCAAGTACACTGCGTAGATTACAAGCGTAGCACGCAATGCGAAACAAAGGAGCGTCCGATGAGGAAAACAGATCGACCCGCTGTCGCTGTTAGCCAGCCTCTCATTCCGACGCAGTGGGCGGCCCCTGTTCGCTGAACGGAGAAACGTCGTCGGAAACGAGCTGCCATTCCGTTTTGCCCCTTTCGCTGTTGCTACGCGGAGAGCAGCCGAAAGCAGCTGAACGCCTCGAGGGGAACTGCCAGGAATCATTTTCACGAGCGAACTGAACACTGCATCACAGATGACTCCCAACGATCGCGACTGCTAGTGGATCCACTATCACAGGCATCGCGGCCCTGCTTGCTCTGCGACACGGGAAAAGGCACAGAAAGCTCCTTCCTTTCACTCATTCGAACCGAGTGGCGGCAATGGCTTGTCCCAGAGTTCTTTGCACAGTGTCCATCCTCACCCCCACCCCTAACTAAATGACCGGAGTAACACTAGTGCTGTGCACAAATTTCAAATTATTTCGCATTTTGAACGTTGTGAGCTGATGTGCATGGACACAAAAATAAATAAAACATTTTCCGAGACGATGCTACTTTTTTCTGACTTCCGAACAAAGCGAGCGAGGCGCGAGAAAGTAGAGTGGGGGGAACTCCAGAGGGCTTTAGAGGGCCGTGCTTCGGGCCGAGTCGAGCATCCCAAACATTGCCAAGGAACTGAACAGCTGTGTTGTCGATTGATTGTGCTAGAGTGCCAGAGTGCCCTTGGCTCACGCAATCAAAATATCGCGGTGTAGTGAAAACAGATTGAACCACGGCGACTCCTTAGCAAGCCTGGCCTCGAACGGGGACCCCGAAGAAGGAGGACTTGCGCCTCCACCCAGGAAGAAGTCCCGAATTGTGGAGCCCAATATGCAGCAGCAGCAGCAGCAACCTGCCTCAAATGGCTGTTCTGAACATAATGGCACTTCCTCGCCATCCGGGGAGGAAGTGCAATCAAAGATTATGGACAGAACAAACCAAGATATTGTGCGACTCATTGGGCAACACCTCAAGACTGTTGGATTAAAGTACGACCCCTTTTTCGAACAAAGTGTACCTAACCTTGCTTCCCTTGGGATGCAAGTTCTTCTGCTTGCAGAATTGCATTGTTAGTGCCTAAATTTGTTTACCTTTTGTACACGGTTTGGGTGTCCCCTTAGGTTTTCAATAATTGTCCAGCTGTCTTTTTGACGATTTTCGCTTTCTGACATCATCGCTGTAGCGAAACAATCGCGTTATACTTATTGTTGTAATTTGACCTGTCAGATGTGAGACCAGATAAGGGGCCAGAGGTGCTGACTTAAAAATGTCACAAAAGTAGTTTTTCTGCACGAATTTATTTTCCCCCTTTTCAACATTTTTCTTTCTCTTCTAAACATTTTTTCTTTATTTTTAATTTTGATGAATCATTATATTAAATTTTGCTCATTACTAATATTATCTCACTCAACTAAGTAAGATTTGCAGTCATTTCTATCTTCATGATGGCTTGTCACAATTATTCCTCTAGACTATTTTCTTCTCATTTTGATATATTAAGTCAATTTTTATTTAATGGGGACAATGAACCTAACCTAAGGCAGTCATGAGTTTTAATACGCTTGACTCCTTGTTTCTTACTATCTTTTTACTGACAAGATAATAACCAAAGAACTGACGCATTGCACAATGAAAAACATATTTCTTAATGAATTCTGCAATTGGAAATTTCTCTCTCATCAATGTTATGCTGGCCTGCTCTTCTTTCAGATCTGATTTTCCTAAAATACTAATTCAACATTTTATTGTTCCAGTCGTACAGCTGAATTGCTCATGCAGGAGTCGGGTTGCCGGCTGGACCACCCTTCTGCTGCGAAGTTCCGGCAACATGTGATGGATGGTGACTGGGTCAAGGTAAAGTAACCATTTGGATCACTACCTTTATTGTCAATACTTCATGCAAGCATACAACAATTTATGTCCAGTGCAAGTTGTATTAAGTTTTTCTTCCTTGGGTTTTAGGCTGATATTGACCTTAATGAACTCAAGTCCTTGCTTGAGAGTACCTCACAGTGCTTAGTAGAAATGAAGTTTTTGTTGCTGGAGCAAAAGTACTTGGAATATCTTGAAGATGGGCGTGCTCTTGATGCACTTCATGTTCTTCGAAATGAGTTAACACCTCTTGGGCACAATACTACAAGAGTGCATCAGCTAAGCAGGTAACTTGAAATTATTCAGTCGAGGTGTCGATCAAGTACAACTTTTCACGTGTCTGTTGTCTCTTTTCTAATTCATGTTGCTTGAAATTTTCATCCATTTTTTACAGTTATATGATGTGCAGTGGAGGAGAGGAATTACAAAAACGGGCTGGGTGGGAAGGCAAAGGAACAAAGTCGCGCAGTCTTCTTATGGACAAACTACAGTCTTTCCTTCCACCATCTATTATGTTGCCACCTCGAAGGTACTATTGATCTTTAGTGAATATGCTGCAGGTTAGATTATTCTCCTTTGCATTTCTAAGTTTTTCCTTTCTTCTAGGCTCTATTCTCTTCTTGATCAAGCTGTAACACTGCAGAAGCAGAATTGTCCATATCATAACACAAAGGTTGAGGGAGTAGCAGATTATGTTTCATTGCTTTCTGACCACCACTGCTCCAGGTTAGTGTTTTGAGTCAGTCTATGCAATATGTTTTTGTCTTCACGTTTTATTAATATGCTCCTGATGCTATTTGTGCAGTGATCAGTTTCCCTGTGAGACTACGCAAGTTCTTAACGACCATTGTGATGAAGTATGGTTCTGTCGCTTTTCCCCTGACGGTCTAAAACTGGCCACTGGTTCCAAAGATACATCTGTAATCATTTGGGATGTTGATCCCGTAAGTTTTTTGAAATTGCACTTATCTTCTTTTTCCATAAATCAAACTCATTTCCATGCCTAATTTCATCTTTTGTTTGAAGGACACTTTGACTTGCACACACCGTAAAACCTTGGAAGGTCATTCATATGGTGTAGCATACCTTTCGTGGTCTCCAGACAGCTCTCACCTGATAGCTTGTGGACCAGAAGATTGTCCAGAGCTATGGATTTGGAACATTGACTCTGAGGAGCTGAAAGTAAAAGTTTCTCAGTCTCCAGAGGACTCTTTGACCTCATGTTCTTGGCATCGTGATGGCAATAAATTTGTAACTGGTGGCATTAGGGGCCAATTTTATCAATGTGTAAGTAACAAGAACTACAGTTCTACTGTTTTGAATAATACAGTTGGCCTACCGATAACTTATTGGTGCATCTCCTTTACAGGACTTGGAAGGAAATGTCTTAGACTCATGGGAAGGTGTCAGAGTTAACAGCCTGTGGTGCCGTAGTGATGGGAAAACTGTGTTGGCAGCAGATACTCATCATCGTGTTCGAGCTTATAATTTTGATGACTTAACCGACTATAATGTGTAAGTCTTTTTTCAGAATTTTGTTGGAACCTACACAATTCTTCCATGTTTATTAATTAATAATATTTGATGTGTTCAGATTGCAAGAGGATCATGCAGTAATGGCTTTTAGTGTCAACTCAGCTGATAAGCTGGCTCTTCTTAATGTAGCTACCCAGGGAGTTCATCTCTGGGACCTGCAAGACAAATGTCTTGTTCGAAAGTTCCAGGGAGTAACACAAGGGCACTTTACAATTCATAGTTGCTTTGGAGGAGCCAATCAGGACTTTGTTGCTAGTGGAAGTGAAGGTGCCTATTTCATTTACTTTTTCATCTCTCCTAATAAACAACTTGACTGCTTTTATTAATTGATTCCTTTATGTTTCAGACAATAGAGTTTATGTTTGGCATGTCAAAAGAGAGAAACCTATTGCTGTGCTAACTGGGCATACTCGAACTGTCAATTGTGTGGCATGGAACCCTGTTTATCATCAAATGTTGGCTTCAGTCTCTGATGACTTCACTGTGAGAATATGGGGCCCATCTGAGAAATACAGAAATTGTAGTCATTCTCCTGGCAATTTAAATGGTACTAAGGCTTCTATTGTCTAATGTTAATGGTTTTAGCAGAAATCTCTGTTGTCAAACTATTTAAATTGACTCAACTTTTTTCCCCTTTTTACAGGAAATAATGGAGAAGGTCCTTCTAATGGTAGTGCTTGGCATGAAATGGTATCATAGGGTCTGCTGATGCGCTGCGCTAAGTTGCCATACAGAGTCACAGCGCTGCGCCGTCAAACATTTGTGTATTTTAATGGTGCAGTGCCATGCCAAATCTTGACATCTTGTCTTATCTGGCTTTGCTCCATACTTTTTCGTTGTGCTGTGATGTACTGTTGCATCTTCTAAGTGACACAATGAAGTTTGAAGAGAAACAAGGATAAGACAAGGGTCATTCTTTTAATTCTTTGTAGAGGACATTCTACAAAATTCTGTAAAATTTTTAAGTCTGATTCAGGGCTTATGTCCTGAGTGTGCATAATGATAAGGTGACATCTTTGTTTGCAATAAATATTTTGATAAGATGTTTGGTTGTGTGTGAGAGTATGCTATGGAGTCACATGTTGCATAATGCTGAGCTGTGCCTTGCCTGAGATTAATTGGGGTGCCTAGCTAGCTAAAAATTAGGTTCAGGTAAAACTTCACTAGCAGCATTTAATTTTAATTATTTATTGAACAAAACCATCTGAGCTGGAATCTTCTACGTATAGTAAATAAACTTGCAACTTTGTTCTGTTTCAAATAAAATCCTTAAGAAGCCTATGCCGATTTACTGGATTTTGGCCTTTTGTTGTGCTTTCATTCTTCATCAAACTGCACATACACATTTTTATGTTTCTTTTCATTGTACTTAAATTTGGTCTGTACCATGCTGCTGATGTTTGATGGTATCCTCTGGTTTACCTCTCAAAATCTGTTCTTAGCTCACTGTGCATAAAAATAAGTTGCACATTGTACATGTCATGCAAATTGAAACATGTTTTTCAAAAATTCCAGTGGTGTAATGACTCAGAAACCATTTGATTGCATGGGAAGCAATAACATGTAATTTTCTTGATTTTAGAATAATTTAGTTGGCATTTAGTACTACATTTTAATTCATTATTTCTCTATTGCTAATCTTTTTATCAATTTTCTGCCTAGTGAATTTGATAATTGTACTTCATATAATCCAACCACTGATGTCGTTGAAAACAAGTCTTCCATAGCAATTGAATTTATTTATAATAATCTTCAGTCTGGATACCAGGGTCATACTACAGAGCATTTTGCGTGTGTACCACATTTAATCTCCTCTCGATTAACTCTCTTCTTCATCTAGTCTGTTTCAAGCATAATATTACTAACAAGCAGTTGTGTTCAGTCTTTGTTTTACTTCACCAGTTTAGCTATCTGTAATAGTCTCAAGTATACAATTTAGATTTTTGGAAATTTGACAACTATAGCAGGTCTGTTAATAGTATCTTCTTTCGTACGCTCTGATAGTGTAACGTGGTTCATTCATGACTCCTTTGCTTTCCAAGCAACTTCTTTTCAAGTCATCTTCCAAATTTGTCCCAGGTACCTAATTTTTCAAATAAATTTGTAGGTTCCTCATTGTTTAGCCAAAACCTTAATTGCAGTAGTTGGTTTGCTTTGTGATGTCACTAGTGAGAGCAGCTGTATCGCTTTCGCTATTCCATGACAATTGGTTCCTTTCATTTTGCTCCTGTAGGAAAGCTAAATGTTTAACCTGTTGAGATTATATACTGTTGTTGATAAAATCTGGATGTATTATTTCTTCGCATTTGCAAATATTTTAATTATACTTGTAAATAATGTTCGTTCATTGCCACAATTATAATTTAAACCTGGTAAATCTGACAAGAATGCTGTTTTAGTTTATTAACTTTTTTTGTTGGTGTTTTTGTTTTATCTGATTTAATGACTTTAGTTAATTACACCACTGGCATTTAGTGTTGTTTGAATGTGAAAAGACCAAATGTTAGTCTTAGACTACTATAATCATCCTAAATGTGTCACAGCCTGAGTGGATAGTTCCTTTTATGGACGTTCTCCTTGGTTTTTTGTTATATAGGCAAGACTAGAATGCTAATCAAATCAAAAGTTTGCTTTATGCTTGTCTTAGCTATGTTATATTTTCTTCTCATTTTTTAAAAATATTTAGTGGCACTGGCTATGCCAGTTTGTCTGTGATGGCAGCTTTTGTCTGCATGGATACCCTGCCACATTTTGTGCCCTCTTAGTGACAATGAAAGGGAAAAAGTACTATAACATTAATTTTTATAATAGTAATGAAGGGCTGAAGTGAGAGACATGCTTTATACTGTCTTTAAATGTTAAGACTTATGACACTGATAACGTCAGACATGTGCTATTCTTTCTGTTGGTGAACTGTTCGGGAAGGATATCAATAATAGACAAAATTTTGTAGATGTGTGCCCTTTTCTATGCCATTTTTCTTTCGTTATTTAGAACTTTCTAATTTTTTTTAGTCAGCTTGTTGCCAGGAATGATAAAAAAGTATTTGTTTGGTGAGTCTTAGTTTGTTAAATTGTATTCCTGCCAAGAAATATCAAGTCAGTACCCACTTTCACAATTTTATGATGTTACCCTCCTAATCATCACAAGAATTGAAAAATAACTGTCCTTTTTAAAGTGATGAACTCCCCAGATCTTTTCATGTCAGCCTGTGGTCTTGTTTGCAATTGTGACATTTGTAATTAATTTTTTTTAAACATACTAGAGCAATTGAAATTTTTTTGGATAACAAAGATAGATATTTTCTTGACACATTGTAGTGACATCTTAAAAATCAGCATCACAACCAGTTTGCAATCACTTGATGTAAATGTGCTTACTTCTTAAAAATAAGGTATAGCTGGTAAACAGTTTTTGTCATGTATTTTGTAGATGTTGTGCACACAGTACTTGACATGCTAATGTGATGGTTTCTTAAAAGCGACTTGATGTAAAATGGATTGCCACTGATTTTGATATATATTTTTTGTGTGGCAGCACAAACTCATATTCAGTTGGTGTGCATCTTCATTGGAATGGGCCTCACATGGCTGCACATAAGCTTGCATCTCATTTCATAATTTTTATGAAGATTTATTTTAATGCAGGACAACCACATTATTTATGAAGGTGATGTTTTGCCTATGGGTCAATAGGTAACATTGAGTGGTAATCAAGTAACATGTGTATATGAAGGTGACCATGGTGTAAGCTAATTTCTTGGTGGGGTGAATGTGACATTCTAAAACTTATTTTTGTAAATTGTGTTCACAGCACTGATGTGTGATGCAAAGTGATTCATGGCTTTACATCTATCTCTCTGAAGAGTCTTAACTATCACATTGTGATAGCAACACTTCATTTAAGAGGTGCTCTTTGTTATCGTTAGTGTTTGTAAAGTCTTCCTCCAGAACTTGCAGAAGACTGATTCTTCGGCTGGTTTAAAAATCCAACCATGGAGAAAATATTCAAACAATTGTCAGAACAAGGGAAATGATGAGGAGCCAGAAGAAAGAAGTATCAGTTCAGTGGTCAGGAAAATTCAAATGTAAATAATGTGTGATTTTTGACACTTTCAGCCTTTGTTAGTTATGACCGTGTGAAAGTGATGATAGCTGTTTAGATGTGATCATCTAACTTTATACATAAATTAATAAAGTTGATACACAAAATATATATTACAGTGTTTAAATATACCAATAACTCCACTATAAATAGTTCAACCACAATTAAGATTTCATGAATGCCAGTAAGATTGGAACAAAAACAATGTAAAGATGAAAATAAGCTTATAATAAGAGAATTTACAAGCTAATGAGAAGACAACATTAATTAGCACTCCGGGGCTTTTTTAAGTGATGGTACTTCACCAGAATTTTGGTCAGGTAATCAATTTGTAAACTGGGATGCTGAAAAATAAAAACAAGATCATTAAATTGCAAAAAGTGCCAAAAGAGAAAAGAAAGCTAGAAAGAAACACAAGTATAAATGTTTACTAACTGGTGGTTTGTCCATAGCAATGCGTCTTGCACAATCACTACCATATATAACTGACTTCTCAGGTAACCTTTCGTTTCCATTTAGCTTACATCCAGCTCCAATTATGCAGCCATCTGATATTTCCACTCCAGGTCCAACATGAGCTGCCACAAACAAATTTCAATGAAAGATTGGGTGATATAAGGTGAGGAAATCAACATTAGCAATTAATTGACATTCCTTACATTTAACTTCCAGTACATTTTGGTTACCCATCATGGACGATTCAAAGACGCAGTCCACTTCAAACACATTGTTGGAGCCGATTTCCATGACCTGGACTATAGAAGGGTCTGCACCAGGACGTAGACTGAGAGAATTTAGTCAGAAGACAAAAGAAAGAAAGCAAGATGAAACAAGTAAGGCCACACTCATACATAAATTACTCTTGCAAACAGTGAGAATTGAACTCACCGGTTGATTATATATGCTTGTTCTTCGATAATGTTGCTCGCTCCAATAATGATTGGTCCTGCTTCGGCAATTATCGTGGCTCTTGGGTGAACAATTGTGTTCGGGCCTATTGTTATATCGCCTCTAAGTTTGCTCTCATGGCAAACGAGAGCCTGATCCGATATTTTGAGGCTGTGAACAAATAAACGGACATGTCAGACTCACATGCTCCGAATCATGCTGCTGTAGCAGCAGCAGCAACCAATAACACCGAGAAAGAAAAAGTTGTAAGTCATCAATCAACTAGAAGGAAACATTGAGTGAAATTAAGAATGGTATTGTTCTTTAACGACGAAAGGGAATTCAGCAACAACCTGTCAGAAGGTTAAAGAATTGTATCTCACTGAGAGGATGGAAAGTACAAAAGAAGGTCAAAAGGAACAGAAACAAAATGTAACTGGGTTTCCATATACAACAGTACTTACTCTGACTTTGATTTTGACTCATGACTGGCTTGAGAAGACATATTCAAGCGAAATCTTCAAATTTATGTGACGTTGTTGACAGTTCTGCTGGACTAGCTGCTGCCTCCTGGCTGCCTCTTCTCATCCTACTGCTGTCAAAAATTTGCGACAGAAGACTTATTATGAGAAATTTTTGAGGTATTTTGATTCGGTGCGAATTTCTTGAACTGACTAGACATTTGATTGAAGAAAAAAACATTGAAATAATGCAAAATTCGATCTTATTTGATCCGTCAAATGAAATGAAACTGAGCTGAGAATAATGTTAAATTAAACGGTCCACCAAACTTCGAGAAGCGACTGCGAAAATATTCTCATCGAGCCTGGCTTAGCCTCACGCCAGGCGAAATTTACGAACTACAATCAAAAGGCCGAACCTCGCATTTCGTTTCGGTTCCTGTCCACAAAAACCGCAAACATGGCGTACAATCTGTCTGTTAAAGTTCACCCCGTAGTGTTATTTCAAATTGTCGACGCCTACGAAAGGAGAAATGCAGACGCGCACCGAGTCATCGGAACGCTGTTAGGTAAGTTAAAGCTTAGACTGCGTTGCATTTGGGTTTCATCAACACAGATGTTACCACTGTCGCACATGGACCATACTTTTGTTCTAATTCCTGCATATTTCTTCTTGCTGGCTCATTGATTGACGTCTGGAGAAGTTTGCTAACTTCTTAGGTCCATTTCTCTTAAGAATTATCATGTTGCGCTTTAAACTGACACTTCTAAAAGCCGGTTGTTGAGGTTATGGTTTAGCCGTAGGTTATGTTTCCATTCATGGGGAGCCAAGTGCCAACTCAAGTTCAATAAATCTTGCAAACCCATTTGTCTTTCTTGCAAAGGAGCTTGAGTGGTGTCCCATCGGACTGTCACTGTTTCAATTCATGGTTTAAGTGCTGTTCATTTATTTAGATTGTTGTTTTTCTGTTTATTTGCAGGATCTGTTGAGAAAGGTGTAGTTGAAGTAACTAATTGCTTCTGTGTACCTCACAAGGAGTATGATGATATGGTAAGCCTCCTTACACCATCTTTAACATTTAGAAATGCTTGAATTTGTGCATCTAATGTTATTTTCCTGTGTAGGTGGAAGCAGAAATTATGTACGCGAAAGAAATGTTTGATTTCATCAAGCGTGTCAACCCTCAAGAAAATATTGTTGGATGGTGGGCTACGGGTCAAGAGGTGACTTCTCATTCTTCAGCGATCCATGATTTCTACTCTCGAGAATGCGCCAACCCAATCCATTTAACTTTGGACACTACTCTTCAAGGAGAAAGAATGGGTGTCAAAGCATATCTGAAGTAAGTGAACAGATTCTTCCCGGATATCATTTAAAATACATCAGTTTATTAATGTTTAGTGCTCTTTATTCCTTACATTAGTGTACCTATTGGTGTACCTGGAGGCAAGGGAGGCTGCATGTTCACACCCATTTCTGTGGATGTCACCTGCTATGAGCCGGAAGTGGTGGGAAGTAAGTTTCTCCTGAAAATCTGTTGATGGGTTTTATTCTAGCTCTTCCCTTTGATGAGTTGATTTTATTAACATATTGCTTCCTGTGTTCTTCTGAATTTAGTTCAGCTGGCCAGCAAAACTGCTATGGTGGCGCACAAAGACACTGTGGAGCCCATGATGGATCTGGCAAGAATTGCAGAAGCCACCAATAAATTATCAGGCCTTCTGGACACTGTTTTGGCATATGTTGAGGATGTTCTAGCCGGTAAAACTGTCCCAGACAATTCTGTCGGACGTGCTCTAACAGACATGATAAACTCTGTTCCCAAAATGACCTCTGAGGAGTTTGACAAGATGTTCAACTCCAACATCAAGGTAGTGTATTATAATATTGTTTTCTTAATTTTAACTTATAATTTTCATGTTTCATCATTTTTTAATTCAATTTTATATTTTATCCTATCAGGACCTCCTCATGGTGATGACATTGGCTCAGCTCGTCAAAACTCAACTTCAACTGAATGAGAAACTTACTCTGCTTACATCTGTGTAATTTACATAATTTACATAAATATATTTATCATGTGCTTCAATAAACACTCCACATACCATAATTTGTGTCCTACTGTTCAGCACCTTTCGCTTCAATGCTTACTGCACGTCAAAATTTGGCCAACTGATGAATTAATTTTTATAATGGGTTACGATCTATTTTATGTCCGTGGGTCCATTTCCGGAACATACGGATTCAATTAGAATATTAAAAACATTCATTTTTAATGTTGGAATTTCTGGAAGGGCGTGTGAATTCCTCGCCGCATGACATCATATCACGCTCCTGGAATCCTCTCCTGTCCCTCCGCGCCGCGTCAAGTAGTGCCGAACCTCTACCGATTGTTTCTTCGCCAGGACTGAATTTTAGCGATAACTGGGGTTTGGCGAGAGCTTTCAACACCTGCGGTACTCGTTTATTACGAGGTTGACACGATTTAAAGTGAAAGCGAAATTACCTGTACGAACCTCGGCCCCGGGAGAACTACTTCCAGCCGCGGCTGCGTCTGCGTCGCTCCGCTGGATGTCTGTGCGTCTGGCAACATTGACCCAACCCAGTGCTTGTAAATAAACGAAGGTATTTTGATTCGTGGAATGGTGATTTGTGCCTGGATTTTTGGATAACTTTTTCGCCAGGTGAGTTGCTTGTGGTGGAAGGTGCCGATGTTAAAGTACGTGAACCAGGGGACGCGGAGTGCGAGTAAATTAAGAAAACATGACCGAGTCCTAACCTCCCGCTTCGTAGGGTTGGGCCCAGAGCGAGCCAGCGAGCCTACAAGTATGTTGTTGTGGAGAATATTTCGTGTTCACGTGCGATCCCCTCAGTCCGGAAGAATCCAGGGGCCTCATTCGCTCAAGTCGAGCACTTGGTCGGATACTCTCTTTCAGAATCGCGTTACTTTCTATCAATTTCGCTTTTGAAAGATGACAGTTCAGGATGTTTGTATTTATGTTTACTGTTTACGTCGGTTTACATTTCACCCCGGTAGGGTACCTGTTTTATTTAATTTTGTAATTTGTTCACCACCTACCGATTGGTACATTTTGAATGTTCAAAATTCATTCACTCAGGTCTCAGGGAATACTCCAATATGATTTTATGAATATCCTGTGGGTTTTAGGTTTTTAGTTACAGAATAATCCATGGGTATATACCATGCCTATTTTGCATGGTTAGCAATACTTGAGTTCCATCTCAAAGTTCTCTTTTTATTTTGAAGCAAGACCGTCCAATAATTTTATACAATTTATGTCGGTGCATAATTTGGACCGTGTTTCAGGTTTCAAAAAAAAAAAAAAAATGGTGACCTACATATGAACATATTTTTTTCAGAAAGATCATGTAGTAGGCCCGTTCATGACTCAAATTTCATTTTTGCCTAGCTCGCCCATCCTACATAAACAAATCTTTTTCTACTCGAAGACATATCTCGAAGTACTTTTATCCTGAGGTGCAAAAGCAGTTGGTATCATCCGCACAGGTAATCTCCCTGTCATGTTTTCGGACTGTGTGGGTCGTGGGTCGTGCACACCTGGCACTTCGTGAGGACATGCTGCCGTGGCGTTTTGCTTGGACCTGTGTGGAGCAGACAGGTGTCGTGGTGGACGCCTGCCTTGGTGTCGTGGCCGCGGAGCTGTAGCAGTGTAGCAGTCAGGAGTGGCAGGGACACCCCCCGGCCTCCGGTCCGAGACGATGGAATTGGACTTCGCCTTTCTGTACCGTGGGGCGGTGCGTTTGCAGAGACCGCCACCAAGTTCCGCGAAGGCAGTCGCTGATGGGCGTGGCGTGGCGTGGTGCGGCGCGGCGCGGTGCGTCACGTGCACGCGTAGCGGAGACCAGCGCCTGCAGCATGCCTGCAGTGGCCTGCAGTGCCGACGTCCGTTGTGCCCATCCTGCAGACTGATTCCGAGAGTCGTTTTCTGACGTACTCATGGGGCGTTCCGCACCGGTGCGAGAGAGACAGAGCGACGAAAACGACTCTCGGAATCAGTCCGCAGCACCCCAACGGCCGACGCCCCGGCGTGCCGACGGTGGCGACGGGGCGCTCTGCTTGGCTCGATCCAGAAGACCTCACTTTGTCGCTCTGTCTCTCTCGCACCCTTACGGAGAGTCCCATGAGTGCGAGAGAGACAGAGCGACGAAACGACTCTTCTGAATCGCTCGGCAGCACGCACGTACCGCAGAGGGGCCTTGGGGCACCTTGGGGCCGATCGGATGCGATCCGTCGAGCTGCCGCCGCTGCCGCCGAGCCCCCGGCCGCGCTACGCCCCGCCACCGCGGCCGAGGCAGGCCGAGGCAGGCCGAGGCACCGGGTGGCACCCTACTCCTCTTCACCCGTTGGCGGAGGTAACCGGTAACGGTTGCCGCGCCACGCCCAGCCGGCCCAGCCCCGCCGCTCGCCGCCCTCCCGTTCGGCTTGGCTTGCCCCGCCGCCACCTCCGCCGGCCGGTGCGTACACTGGTACTACAACACAGGTGCGCGCCGCGCCGACGCACTCCAGGAGGGGCGCTGGCGTCGCGTCGCGCGGCGTCGCGGCGGATCACCAAGCCCTCGACGGGGAAGTCCGGGGCTCGGCGCCGTGCCGCCGTGCACACATGGCGGCCTAATGGCTGGGGCTGCCGAGCGTGCCGCGTGCCGCGATTCGGCGGCGCGTGCCCCCGGGGGGAAAAGGGGGGGGGGTCGTCTCGGGGCGCACGCCTTCTCACTTATTTTTGGCCTTTCTCTGCAGGGTTTCTTCTAATGGGGCGCCGGCATGCCTCGGAGCACAAAAAAGGGGAGGGTGCCGCCGGGAGCGATTTGTCATTAGTGCTCGGCACGACAGAACCGATTATTGTTTCATTCCGTCGGAGTGAATAACGATCGGGGCGGGGCGCTGGGGCGGCATATTTTTGCGCTGCCGAGGCGTGGGAGGGGCCTCGGAGGGGCCAGGGAGGGCGATTGTTCCATTGGTAACAAGGGCTGCGGCGCCCTGACTCGCTCTGACTTGCATCGCAACAGGAGTGTCTGTCGGATTCGGGAGTTGCCGCCGCTTTCCCCGTCTGCAAGTGCACGGCAGAAAGTGACGGAGACTTGCGCTGTGGTGGAAGGGGCCCCCAATGGATTGCTCTACGGACGAGGAATCCATTGGTGGGGTCACACGCTCGGTTCGGGTCCTGTTTAGCGACCCTGGAGCTCAAAACGCGTCCAGAGCTTTGGCCGGCGGCGCCGTTGTTCCTGCCCACTGTGCGCCGCCTTGTCGTTGGAGCCGGTCCGTGTTGTCCGGGCCCCGCCGGCTGGAGGCCTGGCTGTCTGGCTGGAGGACGGAGAAATGGGGAAGGGGGAGGCGCTCGCGCCCCGCCAGCTCAGCCAGCCCAGCCAGCTCAGCCGCACCGCGGGGCCCTGGCTAGCCCTGCCCGCCCCGCCCCGCCCCCGCCCCGCCCCGCCCATGGCAGCGAGGCGTGGCCGCACCAGCGCACCGCACCACGCCGCCAGCCAGTCAGCCTGGCAGTGGCGCGGTCGCCGGTCCCACGGACAGACCTCGAGGGGCGTCGTCGCTTCACGCTCTCGGCGTTGTCGCTCACGCCTTTCCCAAACAGTTCGGCGCTCGCCGGCGCGCGCGCGTGTGTGTGTGTGTGAGTGTGTGTGTGTGGACTCGGCCAGGACTCCGGAGGCCGGAGGGGGCCCCACGCCCGCGGCGGGCAAACACTGCTCGCCGGCCAGTGACGTCACACCGGGATATGCCTGAGGTATGTCGTGCGGCGCTGCCTGCAGTGGATGGCACGCCTCGGATGCACTGCAAGTGAATGGTCGCTGCGGCGGCGCGGCGTTCCGCGCGTACCCGTCCGCCCCGCGATGTTGCTGTTCGGGGGAAGTCCAGCCAGTCCGTGGGGTAGTTTGCTCTGAGTTTGCCTGCCCTGCCGTCGCAGGAGAGGCACGTCCCGTCGCCGTCACACTCGTCGGCCATGCCGTCGCGGTGCGAGAGAGACATAGCGACAGACCGTAGGTCCAGGCGGCGCCCGTCACGGCCGTGCTGTCCGCGTCGCCGCGTCACGGGGTCAGGCCGTTTAAAAGGCCACGGAGCGCGTAGCTGTCGTGTTTGGTTTGGAGCCGCGGCGTGCTGCAGTAGACTGATTCCGAGAGTCGTTTTCGAGGCTCTGTCTCTGTCGCACCGACGGGGCGCCCCGTACAGGCGCGAGAGAGACAACGACGAAAACGACTCTCGGGCTCGGTCTGCCGCCGCGGCGCTGACTCGCGTTGTTTTGGCTCGGCGGCCGCCGCCCTGCGTCAGCGTGTCAGCGACTCGACGTACTACGGCGCGTCGCGGCGCGTCGCGGTGCGTCGACTCCGCGGCCTAGTGCCACTCGAGAACCCATCGCGGTGCGTAGCGGCCGCGGCGACGGATGAGACTGCATTTCGGCATTTGGGCCCCAAGCCTAGCATCGGCGGCCTCGGCCCAGCAGGCACTCACGCCCGAGAGAGAAAGAAACCGAAAATAAACTGAGTAAGCTCTTGAAGGTTGTCGATGAAAAATAAAGTGTGTGTGTGTTTTGGTGTGGGTGTGTGAGTGAGTGGGTTTGGGTACGCCTCGACCGATAGCAGCCGACTCCCGATGGCAGTGATGACGGACGTGTCGCAATATCTACGCGGCTGGGGCGTAAACAGCAGACCGATTCCGAGAGTCGTTTTCGTCGCTCTGTCTCTCTTGCGGGACACCCCGCGAGTCCATAGAGTTCCGCTGGACATTGTTTCGACTCGCCACCCCCCTCGCCCACAACGGCCAGAAATGCCTAATTTATTTGCAACGGCGGCAGGGTGGCCTATACATTTACATTGCCGCATCGGAGCCACTGTAAAATTTTTTGTGCGATGATTGTGGGAATGTGCTATGGGTTTCTCCTGTATTGGCCACGCATTTTGTCCACTTACAGGAGCGTTTACCGCCTGGATGTGGAATGTGTCCGTACTTTGTTGTACTATGAATGTGCGGGAAGTTGTTCCCCCTCGATAAATTTGCATCGTGGGCACTGCCCTTTGGGGCCGTTTGGGGCCCTAACGCCCCGCCCTGCGCCCCGCGCCCTGCCCTACATATCGCCAGATAAGATAGGGCCCCGCTGCTCGCTGCGCGCTGCGCCCTTTAAAGGGCTCTGGCCGCACACACGGCAGGTGCGTGATTTTCCACCGGCAGTCCGATTCCGCCGCTTCCGTCTCTCTCGCTCCCCTCCGGCACACTCCGCGAGTGCGAGAGAGACGGAGCGAGAAGCAGCTCCGGTCTTCCGGCCCACTGTGCTCTGCCTCCTCTCGCTGGGTGCGAGAGAGAGGGGCGGAGCGACCACACGCTGTTCATCGCCGTGCAGATTGCGCGTCCGCGACAAGTGTGCCACCACACTGCGTGTCCTACAGTGCCGGACACCTGCAGCGCCGGCGCGCCGCGTGCCGCTTAGCCATTTGGCGCCGCAGAGTGCATGCACTTACAGTGTCGATGCAGAAGAAGCCCCGCCACTTTCTCCGCGACCACCAGCACTGCCCGCTTGCAGTGCCGCTGCAGTGCCGCTGCACGGGCCGCCGATGTTGCAGCGATACGGTGGCCGGCCACCACCAGGCTGATTCCGCGGAGTCGGTCGCTCTCTCTCTCTCTCTCTCGCACCCTCCGGGACGCGCCGCGAGTGCGAGAGAGACGCGGCGACGCGGCCATTGGTCGCTCTATGCAGCGGCGGCCTTTCGCTGTCATTACTGCAGATCAAAGCCTCGGCCAGTGGGGCGCGGCCTCCGCGGGGTGCCATTTACGGCCAGCGGGGCGGCCGACGCTCCGTCTCTCTCGCACTCGTGGGGCGTCCCGCTGGGGTGCGAGAGAGACAGCGACAACGCGCCCCTCTCTGAATGCGCCCGGCCGGTCTCGGACGTCGTCCCGTTGCACGCCGTGGAGTGCGACGCCGCGACGCCGAGGGTTAGTGGGCCGCGCCGCTGGCGCTGCTGCCCGCCGCCTGCCCGCCGCTTCCGGCGCTGATCGCGTCGATAAAGGACGCGCGCCTCTCGTCGCTCTGTCTCTCTCTGCCGGAAGGCGATGCCGGGGCTGCCTGCCGCGGCGGCCATCTTTCGCCGAGACTTGTTTGAGGCTGCCTAGTTAACGCAGCGTGCTTGTGACGTTTGTTTGGCCCCGGCCAAACAGTGCACCGCGCAGCGCGCTTCGCACCGAGCCGACGGCCAGGGCCAGCAGACTGATTCCGAGAGTCTTTTTCGTCGCTCTGTCTCTCTCGCGCTCATGGGGGGCGCCGTGTCGGTGCGAGGGGGAGAGAGAGCCACGAAAACGACTCTCGGAATCGGTCTGCAGGCGCCAGGCAAGCCAGGCAGGGAGCGCCGTGTTGTTTCAAGGATCGCGCCATCGCGCCGCCCAAGCCGAGGCGAAAAGCCGAGCGCGGCCCCGACCCGAGTCGGCTCGGCGCACCGCTTTGTTGTTCCTCGGAGAAATGAGAAGGATTTCGGAAGCGGTGCCGGGAAACTGGCGGAAAAGCCTGCAGAAACTTGTTTCCGCAGCAGGAGGCTTGGTCTGGCGATATCCCCGGCCGGCGGACGCCGTCGAGGACGTCCTCCTCCTCCACACGGTGACGTGTTCGCTGTTCGTCGCGACCGTTGGACCGGGCCGCCTCGCACGGCACCGCGTGGGCCGCGGGCCGCGGAATGCTACGCGGAATGCTACGCGTCGGTGGCGGTTATCGCCCGGACCAGCAGAATCCACTATCTGGGCCGCGGTGTCACCCAGGCAAACCCAGGCAGCACCCCGATTCCCAGAGTTCTCTCTCGCACTCATGCGGCGTCCCCTATGGGTGCGAGAGAGACAGCGACGAAAACGAGCCTCGGAATCGGCCTTGTCGCTCTTTACTTTGGCGGCCTGTCGCCAAGTGAGGCCCGGCGTGTTGCCTGTGTACACAGTGCGGCGCCACACGGCCGTCCCGCCGCGCTGTGCGGCCAGCGGTTCCGGAAGGCAATCTTGTTAAAAGCCCCCTTCCACCCCCCGCCCCGCCCGGCGGTGACACGGCCGCGGCACCGCGACGCCCTGTTGCCGCCGGACGACCTCCCGTGACCTCCCGGGGGCCGTTTCGGGGCCGGCCAGGCCAGCCTCGGGGCCGTCAGGGGGTTGGCGCGCCGCGGAAGGCGGGGACGCACGCCACCTGATGATGGCCAGGTGGGACGGGGCCTCGGACGAGCCCTCGGGCCACTCGGCCCGGTCGCTGCGATGTCGTGTCCGCCGCTGTTTGTTGCCCTTTTTCCACCGGGTTGTCGTCCGCGGTCGCCGCGTGTCGCCCACCCTGTCGGGCCCCCACCCCGCCCCGCCCCGCCCCGCCCGGCACGCCAGTTTGCATACGGAATATCCGCCCCCAAATGGGGACTGGCAGGGTCCCTCCTTTGACCCGCCGCATCGAATTAGCTTCCCTTCGCCGCCAGCCTGCTGCACCGAGGCTGCACCCTCTGCCCGCGGCCGCGGCGAGCACCTCCCCGTCGAAGCGACCCGCACCGCGACCCCCTGGCTGGCGGCGGCGCGCGCAGCGGACCGGGTTCGCCGTTGGCGCCGTTGGCTCGTGCCGGCTGCTCCGGGGCGGCCCTACAGGGCGGCCCGCGCCGGGCAGCGGTCCCCGTGCCGCGCAAAGGAAGTGGCGTTTTCTCGGAAGCCATTGTGGGCAGGGGACTGTGACCAGGCTAAGTGCCGCGGCGCCGCGGGAAAGGCGAGGGCAGTCCCGCAGGTCGTCGCCGTCACCGTGGCCGTGGCCGTGCTCTCGGACGGCGACGCCGCCGGCGGCAAGTAGAGCGAGTCCCCGCCGGGGGTCATCGGGGAGGTGGCCGGCCGCGCCGTTTGCCGCGCCGGTCTTCTGGCCCACTGTGCGCCGCGGCGCTCTAGTCCGGCAGTAAGCCGGAATGCTAATGCCCGTTTCTTTCTTCGGTTCGGTCCGCCAGGCCCTCCACTCCACTGTAACTGGCCGGCGTCCCCTCGGCAGTTGGGCCCTTTTCCTCCTCCAGGTCGGCGTCGTTCCGCCGCGCCGCGGTTCGCGGCTTTACGACTGGCGTGCCGTTGGCGTGCCGCGGCCGTGCGCGTGCATACGCGTGTCGCATGCAAATGCACGCGCCGAGCACTCTTGTTGTTCTTCTTTTGTTGTTGTTTATTGATGTTTTCATGCACGTTTCTTATTCGCCGCTGTTGCCGGTGCTCCAACTCGCCTGGCCTGAGGAGGCGGGCCTGCTGCTGGCGAGGCGGCAAGGTGCAGCGATTATTAAAATGCGGAGTGCTTCGTGGGCGCGGCCGGCCCGCCCGGCTTTTGCTCTTATCAGTCCCGATTTCGTCACTATCGCATGACCTGTCCCGCGTGATAAGATTCGCCGTCGTGGTCTTACCCTGGATAAATTCCTCCCCGGTCGGCTCGTTTCGCGTACAGAACGCGGTCGAGAGTATTGAGTCATTTGCTCACCACGCCGCGCGGAGCGTGCTGCCTTCGTCGGCGAGTTTTCCTGTAAAAACCGCGGCAGCTGTTTGTACTGTGTTATTGTGTTATCGAGTCTGGGAAACGGGAATACGATTTGCGCTCCGTGACTCACTCGCTTCCTTTCGTGGGAGAGAAAGAGAGAGAGAGAGGACTCGGTGCGCCGCTCCGCGGACACACCTGCGATTTACAGCTGCCACAGTGTACCCTTTTTTGCTGGTGTGGCTGCCGGCCGCCGTGCAGGGTGCCAACAGCCGGCGTGTAGTTGTTGTGACGGCCTGGCCTAGCCAGGCCTCGTTGCAGTGCTGCGGACCGATTCCGAGAGTCGTTTTGGTCGCTCCGTCTCTCTCGCTCTCACAGGGCATCCCGTATGGGTGCGAGAGAGACAGAGCGACGAACGGTCTGCGGGTGAAGGGCTGGCTGGGCCGTGCCGAACGCGAGCTGCTACAACTTGCGAGCCGGATTGCTTCTCGGTTTGTTGTCTTATTTACAACTTGACGGACGGCCTGCGCGCTGCAAGTTGAACCTGTCCGTGCCGCTGCTCCTTGGAGTGCAGTACTGTAGTACACTGCTACTGTCGGCTCGGCTGCCGTGCGCTCGGGTAGAGGGACGACCCGAGGGAGTCTGCCGGCCGCGGGCTGCTTGCAGTGCACATCTCAGGGGAGGCCGTGGCCTCCGGGCCGCTTCCCTCGCATCGCTCCGGCCCTTTGCTCCACGGCCGTCCGCGGCCACTGCAAAAAAAAAGAAAGAGGGAGGCCAGAAAAATGCAACGCCAAAGCAGCACTTTGCTCTCTTTGGCGGATGCATCGCGCTCCGGTGTCTCTAGAGTCTCGCTGCAGATCGATCCCGTAGGAGGGGGGGGGGCGTCGCCCCACGTGAGTGCGACAGAGACGGAGCGACGGAAATGACTCTCAGTCTGCTGCCGGATTTGCTGGAGGAGGAAGGAATTAAAGCAGACGCCCTTTTGTAATTGAGGCGCGCGTCGTGTTGCTGGTTACGCCACTGCCACGCCACTGCAAGGCATGCGCCGCCCGCTTTTTTCTCACTCTCCCTCTCCCCCTCCCCTCTTCTCTCTCTCTCCTGTCTCCCGTCGATCGGAGCCATGTGAGGAGGAAGCACAGGAAGCACGTTTAGTTCCGTTCCAGCGCGCACGTGTGTGTGTGCGCGCGCCCTGCTACACAGAGAGAGAGGGAGGGAGAGAGGAGAAGGGGCGAAACATAACGAAATTGCAGATTTTATGAGGGGCCTTTAAAAGGGGCGCGGTCCTCGAACGAACCCTTTCCCCGGCGACACGGCTGCGTGACGGACTGCCCGAGGGGATTGGTGGGTTGGTGGGGGGGGGGGGGGCTGGACGCGGTCCGCGAGGCGTGGACAATGGCGGCACGCGTGCCGAAAGATGGGCGCGCGCGCGGCGTCGACACCTCGCCCAGGTCCGGCTTGGAAGCACAGTGTACCAAAAACGAAAACAAAGCGTGCAGGCCGATTTACTAGCTCTTCCGCGACGAAGACGACCCTCTCACTTCGACTCTGTGTTCTCCTCGATTTTTATTTTTATTTTTCTTGCGGGAATATTTTTTGAAATGTAGTTTTTTGAGTAGTTCTTCTTTTGTCTGAGGTGCCTGCTCGCCGTGTGTGGAGGGTGGCACGCCTCGGGCACGCCGCCCCTCGGCGCACTTGCTCGCGACCGCGTCGTTATGACGGGGATCGATCGGCCGGACGGACGGCACGGAGTGGCACTGCCTTCCCTCCCGGCGTACCTCAGGCTTGCCTCAGGCTTGCCAGCGCGGTGCCAGGACGTCCTAGGACGAGGACGCGCCGCCAAGGACGCGCCGCCCCGCACTGTGGAGCACCGGGGTGTGCGTTTTGCGCGCGAAAACGACGACCGCGGAAAAGAAACACTGCGCGACGCGGCGGCGGAGCTCCGCCTAGTGTTTCCGTCGCCGCGTTTTCCAGCGTGCCAAATCCGTGACGCTGCTGTTGCAGGCCGGCCGGCTAGCTGCGGCTTTCCCTCTATTTACGCATGCCATACTGGGGTGTGTGTGAGTGTGTGTGTGTTTGTGTCGCAGCGTGGGGACACCGCTATGTTCCGGCGGCTGTATGCACTCCGCGCCGCCTCTGTGTGTGTGTGAGTGTGTGGCGCGCGCCCCCGCCAATTTATGGAAGCGCTGCACCGCTGGCGGCCTGGTGGCGGCGCTGCCTGCCCGTGGTCGCGGTGGCGTCGTTGCCTGTGTCTGTCCCGCTGCCCTTCTGCGGGGCGGGGCGGGGCGGGGCGGGGCGGGGCGGGGCGGTGGGAGAAAGCGCAGCGGAGCGTGGCCGGTATGCGCCGAGCACGGCGGAGGCACGTTCCTGCAAGGCCCTGCACCACATGGCCCCTCGGTGTCGCGTGGGCTGCCAAAGGGCCATGTCCTCCTGTCTCCTTTTTTCTCGTCGTCGTCGTCGTGGGGAGATGGGGAGAGAGACGGAAGAAGGGTCAGGACGGAGAGGTGGAGAGAGAGAGAGAGAGAGGACGGGTCAGGGCGCCGGGCGCGCCGGGCGGGGCAGCTTCCCGCAACAACACGCCCCTTTCCCTTGCGCATGGATGGGCGCGCTGCTTTGTCGTTGGCACGGCGGCGCGGGTGGTGTGCAGCCTCCGGGAAAAAAAAAACAAGTTCCAAACATGAAAAAATTGTAGATTTATTTTTAATTCATCCCCTTTCTCCCTTCCCTGCAAAAAAAAAAAAAGAACATGCATGATGTACGCGAGGTTTAGAAGTGCACCAGCGGTGGCCACTAGCCCGCTTTGCGCCTGTGTGCGTGCAGTGCAGTGCAGTGCAGTGTGCGGGGAAAGCGCGTGGCTGACTGCGCCATTTGCACTCTGCACCCGCGGGGGACGCGCGCCAAGGTGCGGAAGTTTATAACGAGAGTCCCTAAACGACGCGGCCGAGGGCCGAGCATTCGTCGCGTCGTGTTCTTTTTTTTTCCTCCCGGGGGGTCATTTAGTTGAAGAGGTGGTGGTGTCACGCGTGGTCCGGGACGATATGTTAAAGACGCAAAACGGTCGTGTCTGTCTGTCTGTGTGTAAAAGGGAAAGAAGGAGGGGGGGGGGTATCGTTGCTGCAGCGGTCCGATTGAAAGCGAAAAGGGCTCCGTGCGCCGTGCAGCCTCTCGGCGGCTCATTGCGGCATTGCAACGCCGCCGCTGCATTCATTGCACTCACACAATCACGCTCGCACACACACACACACAGCCTGTTGAATGGCGCACGACCCGGTCGTTGACATCACACTGCTGTTGTTTTGTTTGATGTTGTTGCTGTTTCTGACGGTGGCGTTTTGGCCCGCAGGTGTAGGCGCCCCCCACAGCCCCAGGGAGCTCCAGGATGCCGGAGGACACGAAGGGCGCGGGGCCGGTGGCCGCCCAGCAGCCCACCAACGGGCCGGCGGCCTCGCCCGCGCAGTCGCCGATGAAGCGCAGTCGCGCCAAGACGGTGCTCGCCAAGGTCACCCTGCTGGACGGCTCGGTGCTGGAGCTGAGCATCGAGGTGAGTGATGCAGTGTGTGAGAGAGAGAGGGGGGGGGGAGAAAGGGCCGGGGTGAATGTCCCGGAGTGTCGCAACCGCAACCACCGTCCTCCTAGCGCGGTCGCCGCGCATCGGCCTGGCCGCCGAGCGAATCCGAAGAGTGGCGTTTCGTCGCTCCGTCTCGCTCGCACCTCTGAGGGACGCCCCGCGAGTGCGACGAAGACAGAGACGAGACTGTGCAGCGATTGGTGTTGCATCAGGAGGCTGCATGCAGCCTGCAGCGCCCCGAAGGGTGGCGGTGGCGGTACGGACTCCGCGAAGCCATACACTGTAACACCACAGGTCGCATGCTGCATACGGTGGGGCTGCCGAGGCCCCCCGCTCCAGGCCCCCTAGTCCCTGGTGGTCCCCGAGCCTATCAGGCCAGCACAGCCCCCAGGGGAGGCAGTGGAGGGGAGACCGTGCGGACGTGGAGGCCCACTGCCGGCCGGGCGTGCTGCGTCGAAGGCCGGCGATGATGTGACCCGCGGCCGCTTTTAGCGCTTTTAGCCGGCGGGGTTGTTCGGCAGGCGTTCAAGTGCGACGCGCTTGTCGCCGCTCTCGAGGTTGTTGGCGCCCTTGTTCGAGTGGGGCAGCGCGGCCGCACGCGCCGTTAACCCCGGGCACCCTGCGCCTGGGCCGCTTTGAAGGCGAGAGTCCTTTTCGTCGCTCTATCCTTCTCGCACTCATGGGGCGTACACTATAGGTGCGAGAGAGACAGCGACGAAAAACGACGCTCGGAATCGGTCTACTGCGAGAGGGAATGGGCCACGTCGTTTTGCGAGCGCGGGCCTTGCCTCGCCGCCGCCCCTTACAGTGCCGTAGGGGTGCGAGAGAGACGGAGCAGCCTTTTCATCGCTCGAAATGACTGCCTGCTGCCGCCACAATGCCCTCGTGTGTCGAGCGTGACACGAGCGTGGCGCGCGTAGCGTGTCACAACGTGACGACAGGGCGCCCTCGCCTTCCCACCGCGCCGGCCGTGGCGGTGATGTCACGGAGCCTCGGCTCGCCCTGCAGACTGACTCCGAGAGTCGTTCTCGTTGCTCTGTCTCTCTCGCACCTGTCGGGGACGCCGCGTGAGTACGAGGGAGACGGAGCGTCGAAAACGACTCTCGGAATCAGTCTGCTGTGCTGCCGTTGCTTTGGTTGTCGTCGCCGGCTCGAAATTGCAGCATTTTGTGTTTGTGTCCCGCTCCGCTCGTGCGCCGCTGGGCCCCGCCATCGAGCAGGGCGAGGCAGGGCGAGGCAGGGCGCGCTCGCTCGTTCCCGCCGCGACCTTTTCTTCTCATTCTTATTCTAACATTTGGCTCTTTTTTCCTTGCCACTGCCGGAGCGGCCCGGGCCTCTGGCCGAGCCTCCAGCCCGCCGCGCCGCCGTGGTCGCGGGGGAGGCGGAGGCGCGCATTGTGCCGCAGGGCTCCGGATTCCCAGCGGCTGGCTGGCGCTGGCGGCCGCCTGTCGCTGTCTCTCTCGCACTCGCGGGCCCTCCCGTGTTGCTGCGAGAGAGACGCAGCGATGAAAACGCGACCCTCGGAACCAGTCGGCTGGGATTCTCGATTGTGCCTTTGGAGTGCAGGAATCGGAAGGGGCTCCTTTGTGGCGGCCGGCGACGCGACGCCGCCCCGCCGTTCAGCCCAGCCGCGCCCTTGGTTGCCATGGCGACGTTGCGTGCGTGCACCGCCGATATGCCGTGCGGCACCGTGCGGCCGCGGCCCCACGGGGGCCAGGCGGGCCTCGAAGGAGGCGGCCCTCGTGAGCATATTCCCGCCGAGAACATTTCTACGGTTCAAGAGCATTTTCCCTCCCAACAGCTTGTTGCAAACCTTCGACCGCGCTTGGGCTAGAAGTGCTCGGCTGTCAGTTTTAAATTTGGCGCGCCGAAACTGGCGCAGTGGGTCCCCCGCCTGCCGCCTGGGGACTCAATTTGGCGGCAATTTGTGTCGTTCGTCGGCGCGGTGCCGCGGTGCCGCGGCGGCCGTGGCCCGGGCCGAGCGCGCCTCTCTGCCGCGGCTGTGGGTCACGGGAACAACGGCAGCGAGGCGGCGGGGCAGCGCTTCCAGCCAGCCATGCAGCCCGTTGGATCACGGCCTCACTGACGGCACGCCGGTCTGTCTGTCCGTCCGTCCGTCCGTCCGTCCGCCGAGCCGGGATCGTGACCGCGAGACAGAAGCCCCGGCGACGTGGCGTTGGGTTCCACGCGGGACGCGGGCGTGGCTCAGCGGCCGCGCCTTGGCACTCCGCAGTCTGTAGCGCCTGAGAAACTCGGGGTAGGCAGTCCCGTCGGACGCGCGTGTCTGCCGGGTTGCCTACCTCGCGCCTTGGCGCCCGAGGAACTCGGGGTAGGCAGTCCCGTCGAACGCGCGTGTCTGCCGGGTTGCCTACCCCGGGCCGGGCAGGCGCCCCGCGCGACCGGCGGGCATGTCCATGCTCTTGTCCGCCGCGGTGCGCGACGCGCTGCGGTCGTATCTTGATGCGCGGTGCGCGGCTAATGTTGCAGACTTTGGGGCGTGCCGCCGTGCCGTTAGAGCTCGCCGCGCCACATCTTGATGTGCAGTTCGCGAGGCCGCGGGCAGGCCGGCCGGCCGGCAGCAGCCCCGGAGGGAGGGAGCCTGCGGTCGCTCTGTCTCTCTCGCACCCACACGAGACGCCAGAGAGTGCGAGAGAGACAGAGCGACGAACACGACTCTCGGAATCAGTCCGCAGGCATCAATTAAATATGCATAACTGCGCCTTGTGGCCGCGACGTGGGCGCCGCGCCGTGAGCCCCATCGCCGCGGTGGCGCTCTAGGCGGGGAGGGCGGTGACCGTCCGGCGCCAATTGGCACCTCCAGGCCGTGGCGCGCTAGACGCGTCGTCCGGGCCGCTGGGCCGCCACCTGTGCCTCCGCGACGACGATGACGACGACGATGATGATGATGTCGACGACGACCATGTCGACGAGGGCGACGCGGAAGAAGGCCTAGCTTGGGGGAGCGGCACCCAAATCGTGTCCGCATCGAATTACCGAAACTGCGCCGCGGTCTCACGGCCCACAACAGGCAGAGGCAGGCAAGCTCCGTTTGACAGACAGTGCCGGGGTGAATTGAAACGAATGTGATAAGCCCGTGCATTTTGAAGGCGCGATGATGCGGTCGCTTCTATTCCTGTCCCGCCTGCCTGCGTGCCTGCGTGCCTGCTGCAGGCTGCTTCCGAACACTGTCATGCATTCGTCACCGTCTCTCTCGCTCCGCCTGCGGACGGCGGAACGCCCCACGAGTGCGAGTGAGAGAGAGAGACAAAGCGAATCGGACCACTGGCTCGGATCGTCGTTCGCCCGGCCCGGCCCCCGGCCCCCTCCAGACTAATTCCAGCGTGCGGGGACACGTCCGCTCGTCCGCTGCCGCGGTGATCGGAGGGGGAGGGGAGGGGGGGAGGGGGAGTCACATCTCCTCTTTTTATTTTTCCCGTCTGTGTCGGCCGCGTCGCGTCGCCTCCTCGCCGGCAAGTGACTACACTACTTACTGTCGGACGCACAGCCGATCTCGGCCACTTCTGCGCTGCAGCAGGCCGTGGACGTCGTCGTCGTCCTCGGCGGCCCCCTTGGCGGCAGGCGGCCGGCCTCCTTGGGCCCGCCACGTGCGCCGCCCTCGTCCCTTTTGGCGAATGGGGGTGGAAATAGACCGCCGCCTGGTGCGGTGCGGTAAAACTGGCCTGTTTATTGGCGGGGCCGAGATCTCTCGCCACGACACGCACGCCGTGATACCGAACACACCAGCGACCGCCAGGCCGCCAGACCCCCACGAGAACCCCGGCGACCCCTCGCGGGGGAGGGGGCTGGGCGCCCTCCAGTGGAGACGCGACGCTGCGTCGCGTCGACAATACACACACGAACCGCCGCCGCCGTCCGCCAGGCCAATGCCATTTGGGCAAGTTGGAGGCACTAGTTTGCGGCCCGGCCGGCCCGGTGCATCAAGATGCAAGTGCCGTTGTGCCGAGGCAACAAGTTGACCGAGGCCCGAGTGGAGTCGGTGCCGAGGAAAGGGCCCTGGCCTGGCCGGTGGGCTCTCCGCTAGGCAGGCATTCCTGGTTTGAAAGTGAAACTCGCCCCGGCCGGCGGCCAGCGCGCGGCCAACGCGCCGGCTGGTTCGGAAGGCGGCGGCAGCCCGGCAGCGCGCTCGTTGGCGTCTTTGACGAGCAGAAAGAGAAACTTTTCGTTTGAAAACGACGACGCCGTTGGCCGTCGTTGGGCGCGCGGTGACGCGGACGCTGATTGGCCGAGTGCTTGTGGGCGTGGCCTGGACGCAGGGCTGAGGACGACGGCGTCGTCGTCGTGGTGCTCGAGGGCCTCGGGGGGCGTGCCGTGCGGTGCGGCTGTTTGCAGTCTGACCCTCGCCCGACCATTACGGACCGCGCGGTGTTCGGCGAGCCGGCAGTGCTAGGCACGGGGCGCCAACGCGCCAACTTCGAAAACGTCTGGAATCTGAAACCGGCGCTTGTCACGAAGCAGCGCCTGCCGGTGATGATGAACCAAAAACAGAAACGTAAAACTTTGTGACGGTCACGTAACGGCGCGTGGCAGGCGTCACGAGGCACGCGCACGCCATTATTAAGCTGTCCGGCTGTCCTCCGACGTCGTCGTCGATAAGCAAAAGGAATCGGTCGTCGTTCGGTTCGGCGCGCGGCGCGCGTAAAGTTCGACTCGTGTCGACGGCCGGGCCGGATCGGCGTGCTAATCGATGCCTGGCGCCACGCGTGCGCACGCAGCACGCACGGCCGGGAATGCCGCGCCGCCGTGCCTCTCTGGCCTTTCTGGACCACGCCGCCGTGGAGTGCGCCGAGGCGGCCGAGGCGCTGCTGCTGCTATTTCTGTGGACAACAAACACGACGGGCATGGCGCGGCGGAGCGCGGCGGCCGGCCTGCCTGTGGAGTTTCCGTCTCATGAATGAGTTAGTGGGCGCGAGGGGGAGGGGGAGGGGCGTCTGCATGCGCCCCGGGCCCAGCGGCGAGCCGGTGCAATGGCATTCCCAGGCATTCCTCGCGGAGCTGTTGCTGGACCGGAGCTTGGGTGGCTTTGGGGGTCGGAGGGGACGCAGAGGCGCCCTCACCGGGGCCGGGCCGCCGGGCTGGCTGCTTGAATGGCGCTGCCAGCGATGCGATGGGAAAACAAATGCCTAACGTAACGCAACATAAGGCTTGGTCGGCTGGGCTGGGCCTGCTGTGGCTTGCGGTCCTCCGGTCCCTGCACCCTGTCACGGCCGTGCCGTGGCGGTCTAGAGCGTGGCTGTTTGGAGCGTGGCTGCGCTGCCGGCGCTGCAGGGGTGTTTTGTTCGCGGGCTGCAGCTGCACGTTGTACGCTGTACCGGAAGCCGATCCTAAATAGCCGCCCGCTCGGCCAGCGCTGTCCGCGGCCAGTGGCGAGGCGAGGCCCGCGGCGGCCTGCCGCTCCGCACCGCGCAGCCCCGCGCACCAAGCCCGTCCAAATCCCTGCGGGGCCGCATAGTTGCATTTGCTGTGTTGTTTTTGCCCAGCAGCAGGCTGGTTCCGAGCTCTGCTCTGTCTCTCTCTCGCACGCACGGGGCGTCCCGAAAGGGTGCGAGAGAGACGGAGGCGGGGCGGCGTCGTCGCCTGCCACCCCTGCCGCCGTGTCGTCGCCGGTGTACAGGAGATTCGTTTCGGGTTATTTGTCGGGGACTGCGCGCCCTGTACTGTACGGGGAGGGCTTGGTGAATGTATTGGGTGCCGGCCTGGTGCCTGTCGGCGCGCTGTGGCGCTGCTAGTGCTGGCGCTGGCCAACCAGGCCGGCCGTTGCGTTCGCTTTTATGGCGTTCCTGGCGCCACACCCCCGGCCCGGCTCTAGTGGCGCCGCCGCCAAACCAGTCGCCCCGCCCCGCCCCGCCCCGACCCGGACGGAGAGACTGACTGACTGACATCCGTCGCGGCCGCGTCGTGATTGGAAGAGGCCGGGGTAAATAATGCCGGGCCGAGACGTGAGAGACGTGCAGGTGGAGGGGAGGGGTGGGGTGGCTGTTGCCAGGGACGGGGATTGTCCTGCTCGCTTTGCCCGCCCCGCCCCCGCTCTCCCCGCCGGCCCCGCGGCCATGACGTCGACGCCGCCCTTCTCCCTGCCTCCCTGATGGCCCTCCTGCCTGATTGCGTGATAACGGGCTTGATAAAACGGTTCGGCCCCCTCGGGGTGGGGGAGGGGGGGGGAGGTCGATTCCCGGCGCCGTGGGCTTCAGACTCTTTAGACCAGACGCACGGCCTTGGGCCCGTTCCTCGTTCACTGTTTGCACTCGCTGTGCGCGGCTTGCTCTGACGACTGCGGCTGGCCCGGCAGACTGATTCCGAGAGTCGGTTTCGTCGCTCTGTCTCTCTCGCACTCGAGGGACGTTCTCCACAGGTGCGAGAGAGACACAGCGACGAGAACGACTCTCGGAATCAGTCCGCTTGACCCGCGCGCTAATTTTGCGGGCGCGCCACTTGAGGGGCTGTTGGGAGCGACGCACACCCGGCCCAGCACCCTGGTTCAAGTGCGGCTCACCCTGGGGGCGGTCGGCGTCGTCGTCGTCGTCGTCGTCCGGCGCACGACTGAATGCGCCCCTGCCGCCTGGCTCCGAAGTACCGGTCCTTCGCCCCGTCTCTCTCGCGCCCCTACGTGACGCCCCACGAGTGCGAGAGAGACAGAGCGACGGAATCGGGCGGCTGTCTATTGATCATCGGCTATTGGGGCGCGTAGCGCGCAGCAGATAGCGCGTCGCCGTGCCCTGTCTTTGTCGTGCGGTCGCGGCGGTCGCGGAGCCCAGGGTTGGGGACACGCGTCGTTTCTTGTTCGCTCCCTTCCGTCGTGCCGGTTAGCGTGACGCTCCCCTTTTTGGGAATTGTGTCACACGGGGGGTCCTCATCCCCCCGCCGACTGATTCCGAGAGTCGTCGCTCTGTCTCTCTCGCACTGATGGGCCATCCCGCCTGGTGCGAGGGAGACGGGGCGACGAAAACGACCCTCGGAATCAGTCTCCCGGCTCCTAAATCCGGTCCGGCTGACCGGCCTGCGGCGGGGCGAGCGCTGTGTTAGCAAGTCTCTGCTGACGCTGGTGGGGCTTCGCGCCGCCCCCGCCGCCCCCGCCGCGCTGCCCTTGGACCCTTTGGTGGTGCCCTGGTGCCGCACCGCGGCCGCCGCAACGCGCCGCAAGGACAAGGACGGCAAGGGCGCAGCGAGGCGCAGTGCGCACGCCACCTGCAGAGTCGTTTTCGTCGCTCTGTCTCTCTCGCACGCATGGGGCGTCCCGCATGGGTGCGAGAGAGACAGAGCGACGAAGCCTGCAGCACTGTAAGGCTGAGTGACGCGGATTATGGTGATGGTTTTTATTCTTTTCCATATGGGGCGAGGGAAGCAGGCGGGCGGCAGGCGGAATGAAAGACGGGCATTAGTGCATTTGGCTGGTTCGGCCCGCCTCCCCGCCCTCCGCCGTGTGAGGCGCGTCGCTCCCCCTGAACAGCGCGCCCTCGCTCTGTCTCTCTCGCACCCCTGCGCGACGCGCCGTGAGTGCGACAGAGAGGGATACAGCGACAAGCCACGGCCAGCCTACCCCCATTTGCATACACACGCACCGCGGGGCGTGTCGCGACCCCCTCCCCCTTTCTGTCTCTCTCGCTCGCTCGCTCGCTCCGACATAGCGTGACGTCGTGGCGTGAGGTGCAGTAGATCAATAAGAGGGCTTGGGCTTTCCCTGGCAGGGCGTCTGATTACACCTGTACTACTGTGCACTGTGCGTGCCGCGCCCTGCCGCGCCCTGCCGCGCCTTGGCCGTGTGTGGTAGTTTTACCAAGCCGGATACCCTGCCGCTCTTCGCCGGCCGGGGTGCTGCACAGTGAGCCAGAAGACTGGCGGAGGCGGCAAAAATTCTAGACGCGTTTTGAGCCCCCGAGTCGCTAAATGGGACTCGAACCGAACTTTTGACTCCACCAATGGTTTAAGCTTCGTCATGTCCGTGAGTTTAATGTTGCCGTTCTTTGCTTGTGGTTGCAGCGCAAGGCCAAAGGCCAGGAGCTGCTGGACCTGGTGTGCGACACCCTCAACCTGGTGGAGAAGGACTACTTCGGCCTGACGTACGAAGACCGCCACGACCCCCGAAACTGGGTGGAGCTCGACCGACGATTATCCAAGTTTTTCAAAAGTGAGTACATGCCGTCTCGTCATCGCCATCGCATCGCGCGCCCTCTCGCTCTCGGCTCGGATGTTTACCGTTTGTTTCTGGAGAGTGTTCGGGTTGCTGGTTCGGTTCTCGTTCTTGTTGAGGCGGAGCTTGAACTTCCCGTGGCGTGGCCGCGTGGCCCCAGGGGCAGTCAGGGCAGTCATCCCACTCCCACACACCGACTGGTGTTATACATTGCTCATGAGTGTGACAAGATGATGGCTGGACTGTTCTGCTCGTTGTCGGCCAGGGGCGGGGGGCAGGCGGGGCCTCGCCGGTCGTGCACCGTGCAACACTCACAGTGGAGGAGAAGAATCAACTCCTGTTGAGGAGGCGAAGGAGACCCGAATATCTCCCTCTAATCTTGCGCCCGTTTTCTTTTCTGTTCAGATGATCCTTGGAAGTTTAACTTCGAAGTCAAATTCTACCCTCCCGACCCAGCTCAACTGCAAGAGGATATCACAAGGTAAACAAAAAATTAAGCCAAAAAAAAATTAATGGTGCTATTGTCTTGTCATTGTCTTGAAAATGGTTCAAAACTAATTTCCTTTTTCTTTCTGTGTGATGCAGGTATCACTTGTGCTTGCAAATCCGAAACGACATTCTGAATGAGCGGTTACCTTGCTCATTTGTCACCCACGCCCTCTTGGGGTCCTACCTGGTTCAATCAGAGCTGGGTGATTTTGACCTGGAAGAGCATGGACGTAACTATCTCAGTGAATTTAGATTTGCACCAAATCAGACCTCAGAACTGGAAGACAAAGTTATTGAATTACACCGCACCCACAAAGGCCAGACACCAGCAGAGGCAGAACTGCACTTTTTGGAAAATGCCAAAAAGTTAGCAATGTATGGAGTCGATCTCCATCCAGCCAAGGACAATGAAGGTGTAGATATCATGCTAGGTGTGTGTGCATCTGGCTTGCTGGTCTACAGAGATAGGTAAGTCAACTAGAAGACCCCTTACCACCCCACATAAAATAGAAATATGTTGTATTATAAGACTTTTTTAATGAATTATTTTTAACATTTTGATTTTTGTCTGTTATTTTAGGTTGAGAATTAATAGGTTTGCTTGGCCCAAAATCCTCAAAATATCTTATAAGCGTCACAACTTTTACATTAAAATTAGGCCAGGAGAATATGAACAGTATGAATCAACAGTCTGCTTCAAGCTTGTAAATCACAGAGCAGCCAAGAAGCTGTGGAAAGTTTGTGTAGAACACCATACATTCTTCCGGTATGTACAATTTTTCTTCTTCCTTTGTACAGATGGATCTTTCATATGCAACAAAATATCAATTAACTTTTTGGTCCAGGTTGATGAAACCAGAGCCAACAATGAAATCAGGACTATTCCCACGATTTGGTTCCAAGTTCCGTTACTCGGGACGCACACATTATGAATCAAGAAAACTGCCTATTGACAGGCAAGCACCCCAATTTGAAAGGTCACTGAGTGGAAGGCGACTCACCAGCCGCAGTATGGATAGTAAGCACAAAACTGATCTTTAGAATAGAATAATAACACTCTATTGAACTGAATTAATTTTTAATAAATACTTTTTCAACTAGCTCTTGGCCATAGAACACTGGGGGATGAAAATGACCCGAAGCGGCACACAATGCCTCATGCCCCAGGCAGAATCCCAGAGGAACACAGCCTCAACACATCGAAGGATAAGGACAAGAAATCCAAGGATAAGGTGTGTTTCTTTGAATATTTTCTTTTTACGTTTATATGTATTTTTAAGTTATGGATATGGGGACTGTCAACTCTGTTTGGAGTGATTCCACTGAACTCAGTGTGAGTTTTCTGCATTTCTAATGTGTTTTGGGAGTGTAATTGTGGTCTTTCTACAATCTTTCTCTCTGAATTCTGGAACTAAATTTTTATGTATGAAAGTTTGAATTTAACTGTGATTGCTCGAGTATCCTTGTTTAGTGTCTAATTTATACTAACACTTATAGCGAGGACGAAAAGGCAGCTTGGGTGAATCAAGTGGTAGCTCTGACAGCTCATCAGAAGGGGAATATGAGGCTGGAAGCCGTAGAGACAGAGACTCCTCATCAGAAAAACCGAAGGTAGCTTTGTCTGCTTCATCTATGCTGCTAAGCTGATGCAAACCAGTCTGCCTTGCAGAGCCATCACAACATTTGTTGGTTGTCTTTTTTGTAGTGTTTGAGTTCGATTTTCAGCTTTGGTGGAGACAAGGCGGTTTTGGTTTAATTTTTTGTTTTGGTTTTGGAGTGCTTCCCCTCTCTAGTCTGTCAATCCTTTTTTAACTTTTGTCTGATGACAAATTAGCCATGACATGCATGCTGCTTTTCAACGTCATGTTTCCTTGAACTATAGAAAACCATGACATGTCCTGCATTGCATCATAATCCTAATCTTCATTCACTGTGAAATTTTCCTCATCCTCAAGCTTCTGCCCGACTGCCGTTTGTTTGCAGCTGTCTTAGACCACAAAGTGTAAAGTGCATCATTCCATCATGAGTTCATCATCTGTTTCATGCTGTTAGTGGTGTTTGTAATTGATCAAAACTGCATTTATGTAAATTTCTTTTTAGTATTATTTTCTATGCGTTTGTTTGTTAATTCTCTAGAATGTATTTTGTTGGATGTTTTTCATTTTGATTTTTTAATTGTAAACAGTAAATAACTTTATTACTAAGATCGTGTTTTAAATGATGGATCAAAGAAAATTATTTCAATATTTTGTCTTTTCAGAAACCAATTGGCGGTGTTGCTGTGTTGCCACTTGGAGGAATCAAATTAGGGCGAAGCAAGAAGAGTAAGGAGAAAGAAAATGGGCTGGGAGAGACAGATGACGACAATGAAAAGGAAAACCGAGATGACTCATTCATCACGGACCCATCTTCTGATTCTGCAAGGAAAGCTGGAAAGGACAAGATAATAGATAGTCCTGACAAGGACAAGAGCAAAATTAAGGTGAGTCACATGTATTCCTATTATTTATCATCATTATTTTGGTATAGTCTAGGGCTGAAACCTTATTCATTGGCTTAATATTTCAAAGTAGGTTTTGAAAGCGTTATTTTAGGTTTGCCTTAAGATGTAGCAGTGTTGCTGAGATGTGACGTTTGTGCACGCATTGTTCCTTACTTGTATAAAGTAAATTTTATTTTGGCTGTTAATGCATCTTTTATATTATCTCTAGATTTTTTTTATTGTGATACCCGTTTTTTTTTTCTTTCTCTCGAATGGTGGGTTTTTGAACATAGAGTCAGAAATGTTATCATTTAGTAGTGTGATGATCCGAGCAGCTATTGTAGCTGACATTGAATTAGCCTGGTTTTGCTGACTATTTTGCTTTGCCTGTTTGGACTCTTGCTTGTGCTTGTTTTTATTTTGTTTCCATTTTGTTGTCTCGCGCGTAGAGTCCGGTAACGCTGTTTGGCAAGGGCTCCAGTCGCAGACTCAGTGGTAAGGACAAAGATAAGGGCAACAAGGGACTCTCCGACCAGAGCAACGACCAGGGCCGCGACCGGGAGGGCATCGAGCTCACGGAGCAGGCCGTGAGTGGCGGACAGGGGCAGGGGCAGGGCCAGGGCCTGGGGCAGGCCGACAAGTCTCCCTCCAGCACCACGGCCTCGGCGGTGTCCGCCCTGCTTCGCAGCAAGTCCAGGGAGACGGAAGAGAGACTGCGCGAAAAGGAGGCCAAACGGCTGGAGGAGAAGAGGAGGAAGGAAGAGGAGAAGAGAATCAAGGACGAGGAGAAGCGAGTAAAGGACGAGGAGAAGCGACGCAAGAAGGAGGAGAAGGAGCGCGAGAAGGCCGCCGCCGCCGCCAAGAAGGGCAAGAAGACGGCCGTGGCCGTCAAGGAGCTGGCCGACACCTCCCTGGACACGGACGTGTCCTCGGCGCAGTCCAGCCCGGACAAGCAGGGCCAGGGCCAGGACGGCAGCCTGGGCTCCACCAGCCCTGGCGGCGGCCCTCCCCACGGCTCGCCGACGCTGCCGGGCTACACGCGCGAGTACGACTACGTGGCGGACGACGCCGAGCTACGGAACAAGCCGTTCAAGCCCCAGGAGCGCGGCTTCTCGTACGAGGAGCGGCAGCGGCAGCAGCGCGGCGCGGGCGGCCTTCAGGACGAACAGCGCTCGCCCACCTCGGGCCGCATCCTCACCGGCCTGGCCTTCAACTACGCCCCCGGCGAGGCGCGCAAGCTGGCCGAGACCGCGGAGAAGAGGAAGACTGCTGCCGGCGACAAGAACGCCGACGGCAGCACGGCGGTCTCCGGCGTCGGCATCAAGACCCCCGGGCTGGACTACGTCGAGTCGGCCGCGCGCAAGGAGCAGGCCCGCGGCGCGGCGGACGGCGGCGCGGCCGGTGGCTCTCCCTCCGCGCGCCGCAGGCTGGACATGAAGTCCGGCTTCCTGTTCGGTAGCGGCGCCGACGCGGCAGTGCAGTCTGCGGCCGCGGGCAAGACGCCGGCGGCCGGCGCGGCGGGCAGCGGCCCTGCGTCCTACACCATCTCCACCTCCGCCACCTCCCCCACCTCGGGCAACTTCGACGAGGGGCTGGTGGGCGGCTCCTACCCCTACGGCGGCCCCGGCGACTCCCCGCGAGTCGGTGGCGGCGCTGCCGGCGCCCTGGGCAGGACGACGGGCATCGCGGCGTCCCCCGGCGCCAAGCGGACCATCACCACGACGACCGTGACCACCGAGTTTGGCGGCGCGGGCCGCGCTTCGCCCAGCAGCCCGGTGGCCGAGTTCCTCGCCAAGGAGTCCGAGTTCGCCGCGCAGCACGGCCAACAGGGCTACAGCTCGCCCAGCAGCCCCACCAGCATGGGCAGCGCCAGCAGCCCTGGCAGCGCCGGCAGCCCCGGCAGCCAGGACTCGCCCTCCAGCAAGGCGGCCAAGGACAAGAAGAAGAGCAAGTGGGGGCTCGGCGGGCTGGGAGGCGCCCTGGGCGCCAAGCACAGCGACGACCCCAAGGACAAGGAGCTGAGGGAGGCCAAGGAGAAGGAAGCCAGGGAAGCCAAGGAGAAGGAAGCGAAGGCCAAGGCGGAGGCCAAGGAGAGGGCCGCTAAGGAGAAAGAGGCCAAGGAAAAGGAAGCCAAGGAAAAGGCGGCCAAAGACAAGGAGGCCAAGGAGAAGGCCGCCAAGGAGAAGGAACTGAAGGACAAGGAAGCCAAGGAGAAGGCGGCTAGGGAGAAGGAACAGAAGGACAAAGAGGCCAAGGAGAAGGCCGCCAGGGAGAAGGAAGCTAAGGAAAAGGCGGCCAAGGAGAAGGAAGCCAAGGAAAAAGAGGCGAAGGAGAAGGCTGCCAAAGAAAAGGAGGCCAAAGAACTTCGAGAGAAGGAAGCCAAGGCACTTAAAGACGCTAAAGAAAAGTCAAGCAAGACAAAGACGATTCTTGGTGCTGCTGGGGCTGCAGGTTCAGGCCATCCTGAAGAAAGTACCTCCGGTGGGGAAGCGGCCTCAGAAAGTGACGACACAGCTGAGTATGCTGAAGGGGAAAGATCTCGAGGAATTAAGGGTATTGCTGCAAAATTAAAGCTGCCTCGTACTCCTAGTAAGAAGAAGGCTGGTTCTTCTGATAAGCAGTTGGCAGCGGGCACTCCTAAAGTTGTGAAGACAACCACCAAACAGACTGTTGTCAAAGACAGTGAAGGTCTGACTCACAACATTGAGGAGAAAGTTGAAGATCTTGGTACGGGAGCTGTTAATGTCTCTACGCACGAACACAAGGTTTGCTATAGCTTGTTTTATTGTTTGGTTCTGCCGTGTAGAGTGAAAGATTTGTTTGTTCTTGGAAATTTTATCATTTGCTTTAGTTTGAAGTTTTACTATGCTCTGCATGGTGCATTATGGTAGTTTTGCATTTTGTATTCAAAAATTGATCTCATCTTACTGAATTTTTTGGACTCCACTCCATTTCCACTTTGAACTCAACGTTGTAACCCTTTTTTCTTTATTGTGGAAATTATCACTGAGTTTCAGTGCAATTTTGGAAAAAAAGAAACATCTAAGGTATTTTAGTTTGTCCCAATATGTATGTTAAATTTCCAGTAATTCTTCATGACGAACTTTGCTTTCTTTTTGAAGTTTAAATTTTAGAGTAGGCTGTTGGATAGTTGATAGTAGTTTTTGCACTGTAGCTTATACTGCTTGTGTATTTAGGCGGAGGGCGTGAATGACAATGGGCGCTCCCCATATGTCACTGCAACTGCTGTCACCACCCGCACAGCAACAACCCATGAGGATCTTGAGAAGAATGCTAAGACCAGCCAGGTTGGTATTGCCCAGTCATGAAGCACACTCATAAACATGAGTCCACAACAAATAAAATAATAATCACAATAGGTCTAAAAACCACAGAAGTTTTCATTTTCATGTTGCATGAAAACCAAAAGTGGCCTGTTCCACCAAAACTTACTTCTAAAGATTCTTCTTTGACTGTTTCAGGTTGAAGAGAAAACAGTGGCACACACTATGACAACTAGTGCTACTCGCCAGGAGCAGCGAGTGGTGACTCAGGAGGTCCGAGCCACATCCACTGTTTTAAGCGGAAGTGACACTCAGGTTTGTTGAAGCACACCTTTTTTCCCGTCACACTCAATTTTTTCTATGGTAGAAATGTGTCACAACAGTGAATTATTATTATTATTATTATTATTATTGTATGAACACATTGCACCGGCCATGTATTACTTGCTTTATGTTTTGACAAAACACTTGGTTTATATTTGCACTACTCTCTTAGAGAGACTACAAAAATACTTCTGCTTTTTTTATGTTCTAAATTGCTTTAAGTGTCTAGTGATGTGTGATACCTAATCATGAGTCACACAATTTCTAGTTAGATATCCATATTGTTTAAGTACGTTCCCTCTTCAAACTGAATTCAATATGAACTTTATCTCTTTTTATGTCATTTGGGGATAAAGTGTTTTCACTTTTTATCACATCAATGCTCAATTCCTGCAGTACTTTCGACTCTGCTTTTGAGAATAACATCATATTTAAAACTGTCATCAACTTCTCATAAAGTACTCTTCTCATAAACTTTGCAAAAAAAAAATTATTTTAAAAGAAAGCATTTAGGCTATGGTAGGATACAGAATGCTGACACATTGCATGTTGGAAAATTGCATGGCTATTTGCACCACTAACGGCACTCCATGCCACGCTACCCTGTGCAGCGTCATAGGTTGTCAAGTTCATCTGATTCTACGAGCTCGGATGATTCTGGTACACCGGTGGACATCTTGGATGACTCTCAGGGCGAGTACTTTGTCAACTGCAATGCTGATGATGACCCGTTGTTCCAGGTTGGTTTTGCTTGCTTGTTTGCTTGGCGCCACAAAGGAAGGAGCTCTGCTGTAATCATTATGAAGAGTTCAACCATGAATGTCAACCTTCAGCTAATTTTTGGAACTCTTATAATGTTTACATTCCCCTCGCTCCTTTCTTCTGTTGCATGGAATTGGTTTACCCTCTTGATTAGCCTAAGTTTTGCAAGTGTGGCGCCATCAAGCACCTGGGCCTTCCATGCCCTGAATGCTTCTCGTTCGCTTCGCCATGCACATTCTTTAGAGCACTGTTTGTACTGATACTGGGAAATATCCCTCATGTACATATGTCATATGCTACTGCAATTTTCTTTCAGCAGATTGCAACTGTGCTATACTGCCTGGATCAAATGTACCTTGCAGGTTGCACTTAGATGCAGAAAACAATTGGTCTTGTTTAGCTTTCTTGAGAGTCTCATGGTGATTTATGGCCAATCTGACTTTGATATCACTCAAATAATTTCTGCATGTAATGCACTTTTGCTTTCAGCCACACGGAATTGTCCAGACTGAAACTCTTGTGTTCAACGAGGGAGGAGAGGCCCCAGCCTTGACCAGCACGACACAAGTTCCACTGGTTCAAACTGAGAGCCGGAAAGTTGCCCTGGAAACTGAAGATGGTACCTACAGTGCAGAGGGTGAAATTGTCAGCTCCCAAACCATCAGCAGCAAGACAAGGACTGTCGAAACAGTGACTGTAAGTTCAATCTTTCCCCTTGAGGTAAATAGGTCTCTGTTCTAGCTTTAGTTTGTAAAAATAATCTCTTTTTACAACAACAAAAAAAACAGTACAAGACAGAACGAGATGGTGTTGTGGAGACTCGAGTGGAGCAGAAGATAACCATTCAGTCGGATGGAGATCCTATTGACCACGACAAGGCATTGGCAGAAGCTATTCAAGAAGCTACTCTGATGAACCCTGACATGACAGTAGAAAAGATTGAAATTCAGCAGCAGACAGCCAGTGGTGCATCTCAGTGAACTGGTATGTAGTTAAATTTATAACAAAACGAAAAGTTTTCTTGTAAGCTCACAATTTGCACATTTTTGTCATTGTTTTTTTTTTTTTTTCAGGTTGAAACTGATCTGAAAATTTCAGATCTTCACAATTCAGCTAGTGCATCACTGAGTTTGATCATGCTCCTTAAGAAACTGGATTTCGCTCTGAGCAAGGCACAATACCCTTGTTTTTTGATGGCACATTAAAAATCTCATTTTGTTGCCCGCCCAAGTAGTTTGAGGAAGAGGGACTTGTTATTACATTGATGTTGTAAAATTAGCCTGTCCATTTTAATTCTTTTTTTTTAAACTACTATTTGGACATGATGTTAATGTGAAATTGTAGATTTGTTTGTGTTTACATTTACATTTTAATTTTACTTGTGGCTCACTGGATGTGTCTTATTCACATTCTGTTCACTTTCACCTTTCATTCACCTTGCATCCCTTTCATTGTATTATTCATCTTCATTCACCTCCATATGAGATGTGACTTCACCAAGACGATACATTGGCAGCAGAGCAGAAATAAGCGAAGTGTACAAGATAAATTATTGTTAATAGCTACTAAGTAGCACATATAAGTTGGCTTTGTGTATATAAAATATGCACCTCACAAGTGAACACATATTCTAGCAGGAGTAGCTGAGGCTGAGAGGCAGCTCTATTTTTAGGAGATTATTGTCCACTCTCAGGGAGGCTGTACTCTTTAAAGTGTTTACCCTCGATCTGAGAAACTACTCCCTTACTTGCATCTTGGGCTAGAAAACAGATTTAATCACTAAACAGATTTCTGAAACTTGCATGTTGTTTTTTTTTTCCAGTTGGAATGTTCTAAAAAGATTATAAAATCTGTTTATTTGACAGTGTATTGTTGTGTATACTATAAAAAGTGACTTCACGTTTTTATGTTTTCATTATTTTATTTTTATAGTACCTTTTGTTTGCCTTTTTATAAGACATATTTTATGTGTTGTGCGTCCTGCACAGTTTCCATTTTATTTGACTAACCTTATCATAGGCATCTATTTCTCTCTTCCATTAATTTATAGACGTTTAGTCGGTTGAGTACCTGCTATGCTGCTGCTGTTTGTTTGCCTTCCACTCAATGCACTACACAATAGTATTAGCAATCTGTCCATCTAGCCATAGTGTTAATTGTTTGCTTTCAGGAAGGATTAATTTCTTAACTCTTAATTTATATAAAAATTATATTAAAATAAAATTATATTTTATGGAATATGTTGTTTTTTTTATTTATTTATGAAAGAATGCATTTACATCTTCATGGTGTAGTGATGGGCCTTGATTGAGGATAAAAGAGTTCCAATCATGAGTATATTCTCTTCTGTTAATTTACTGTTGTTCCAATGTATGTTGCATGTGCTTAAGCTTAAAATTTTCTTTTCTGATTAGAGGGATGAAAATTAATTGCTGGTGACTTTTTGATAAATCAGTATAATGAGACTTCTGCATGTGATACTGCTATACAAACCGTCTCCTAAAAAAGACTTACCTTTTTAACTGTATCAACTTTGAATCTTTTGTATTTAGTATCATGGTAGAAGTTAGTCCCTCTTATAAGTGAAAGTATGTTACTTTCTGTATTCTTATCTACGTAACATTTGTATATGTATACCTTACGGAGCCTTGTTACTTATACCACAATGATGTACACAGCATCTGCCTCAACATTGAGGTCAATAATGCCTCAGGATACTTATGAAGAAAATATCCTACTGGAGAACAGTATGATTCACTGCCATTACTAATCGTGAGATCCAGTAGCATGATCTTCTAAGTATGGAGAAAGGGACTAAAGCCTTAATGCATGTAAAATTTGCTTTCCATCTGATGAAAATGAGATCTGTTGAAATGAATTCAACACAGAGAGTCTCTAAAGAGATATGTTATCAATGTAATATATTTTATGGTCTCCTAAGAAAGGGGTGCCAAAGTTGTTGTTCGAATTAGGAAACGTGTGTAGATTGTTAAAAGTGTTAACCTTTAGTTGACTTAGGTTTTCAAACCCAGTTTTCTGAATCGATTACAAATTCATGACCAATTCATTCAAAACGAGCCACTAGAAACAGACTAGATTGGACCACTGTAGTTAATTTTAGTTGAATGGATTTGGGCTTTATTTTCTGGCAACTCAGCAGCACAAACTGTTGTCAAATATGTTAAACCTTAACACACAAGACAATTTGTTGCCGTCAATAGGAACTAAAGTACTTGTCTAGAATCATGAATATGTAGCGTTATATCCTACCAACAAATTGGGTTCTGTTCACATTGCTGCAAAACAAGTATGCTGAATAAAAGCTTCAACAAAATTAACAATTATTTTATTGATGACCAAGCCAGCCTTCACATCTTAGATACGAGGCCAGACAATGATCGGAAAAGGTGCTACCTTCCTCACAAGTGATGTGGGACGATAGTGACACTCAGACATCAAAGAGGTGCCCCTAGACATCCCTACTAAAAATGATGAGCCAGCTCTGATTCTTCCGCTCTGATCGGTCGACATGCGGCCATTCAAATGTTGATCAGCTCAAAATTTTCGCCACTCACATTTCGAGCAGTGTAGCCGCCTAGTCTCGTGCAAGGGCCCGCTGGCGCTCCCCCCCCCCTCCCCCTTTGTCCGAAGGATGCGTCCAGGGCCCAAAGCGACGCAAGCGCGCCCGCGCCAGGATGCGTCCATTTGGGGCACTAGCGTAGCGGTCTGCTGTTGCAGCAGCAGCATTGTTTTTGTTTTCTGGCTGGACCTGGACGGGATCTTCTCGATCCCCCTTTGCAAACACCTGTTGCGTCCAATTCCCGAGTGCACCTGCCGCCTGTCCTGCGGCTGCGGCATTCTGCGGTGCACCCCTTGCACGCTTTCTTAGTGAGTTCCCTTACCTTCCTCCTGCATCTCCTCAGGAGATGCGAAAAGTGTACCCCCCACGGTTTGGCGAAGGACGCCACCGGTTTCGTGCATCTTGACCAATCTTGACCAATGGACTAAATTTCTTTATTTCACTTTAGAGCTCTGAGAGACGTTTTTATAGTGCGGCTGCCGTCTTTCGATCGTAAGAAAGTGTACACTATTTTCGGACTGAATCCTTGTTCCTTTTCCATGTTGGTTAGACATGAGTCTTGTAAGGTTAGATATAAACAGGATCCTAGTGATTGTCAACATTTGGGCAAATTCATTCTCCTCTTTTGTTTCTTCCTAATCTCTCATTTTATTGTTGTGTGTTATTTTACAGGTGTATTGAGTTATCTCCTCCATCTAAGCAGATGAAGAAGATGAAAATGAAGTTGACTTCAATTCCAAAAGAAATTTTGGTTGACTTGCAGTACAACCTGATTGATGTGAAACTTCTTCAGCGGAATGTTTTGGACAAGTATTTATAATTCTGTTATAAGTTGTGAGAATTATGAGTTTTATTTGTGCTTACAAAACCATATCAACCTTGTCCAAACATTGCAGATCCGATTTCATTCTGCTCAATAGTTACTCTACCAATCAGGAGAAGGTAGAAATACTGATGGAACTAATGCGCAACAAGACTGAAGAAGACCATGACAATTTCCTTGAAATCATGGAGGAAGATTACAAGTGGCTCAGAGATAAATGTGATCTTTTCTTCACTAAATTAAGAATGGACAATCTTTCTAAAAAGCCGCAAGAAATTCTACCATCTTCTGATCCAGTAGTTGAATCAGAGGCAAGCTCAAAGCCTTTGCTGCACTTAATGTTATGACTCCCGACTTCTTATTTAATGTTTGATTTGTGACTGTTCAGGATACTACAACTGAAGAAAATGATCGATCATCATCACCCCCTGCAATGAAAAACCCAAGCAGTCCTGACAGTACTGCTGTACTGACAAGATGTATTAAAAAAGAAACAGATTTTGAAAAAAAAATCAATGATGCTTCCTCCAAAAACCTTCATACTGGCTCTGTATCTAAGAAGAATGATAAAGCATCAAAGATAAATGAGCAAACTTTTAACCAAAGTATGTTTTCTTGAGAACAACTTACATTATAAGTTGTGTAACAAAAGGAAAACTATAACAAATTTTCTTTTACTATTCAGCAATTACTCCAGAGATGATGACGATTGTTCGTCGCAACCACCGTGTTGTTCGGAAATGGTCCACACTTGCTCATATTCTGGGTATGACAAAAATTGTACATACATTACGCATGCGCATGGTAATGAGTGGAGAAGATGCAGATGCCTGTGTTTTGTATCTGTTGGAGGAATGGAAAGGTGGGCAACCCAAAGAGGCCACTCTGGGCAGACTTATTTCTGCACTCCGAGAAGAGGAGTTCAATGATGTTGCAGGTAATTGTTCTAATACAATCATTAAAATATCTATTTTGTACTAGAGTGCTTATCTGGTTTTGCTTTTTTACAGACGAGCTGGAAGAAAAATTTGCCTTAATTGATGATTCTGAGCAGTAATTTTTTTCTTTGTACAAGACTCATTGTGATTTTTACTCATATTTTTATGTAATTGTAAAAGACATGTTTTTTAGTCTTCTAACTTTATATCTACATTTTAAAAGACTTCTTACCACTTAAGTTTATTGTGCACATATCTGGTACACAGAGGTATCAACTACCATTTCAATCCTGTAACTTCATGGTTTTGAAACGTCCGTATAATTTTTTTGCTGTGATTTCTGTTTGTATGTTTCAGTAACAGCAAAGTATCTTGTCTTTAGGATGTGTGCCACAGTTCTTGCCTATGGTTAGATAATTTCTCCATCCAGTTTTAAGCCGGTGTTTTGCACACAGTGCGCCTGTGTCTACTGTAATCATTGAGGCCTGCTCAAACTACATTATTGTAAGATAGTATTTATAAAAGTTTATTTTAAATCAATGTGCATTTTAATGAACAACTTAGTACAAAATTTGGTTGTACTAAATAATCTTGAATGAGATTGTTGTAATAGCAGAATAAACACAAGAAGGGCTTTTATGAGACAAGAGAGTAGATTTTGTGTGAAAATTGTTGTAGATTTGCTGTGATAAATTGCTGACCCTGAAACTACTTATGGCAGACACCCTAGTCATCTCTGTATCTTTTTTTCTTCAAAATTTACAAGGATGAGTTTGGTATCTGTCTCTGTCATGTTGAACATTACGTATTACCACTTTTATACTCAGGATTTCTTTTCAGTATTATTGGAGTTGTTAAAATTGTATTTTGAATCCATGTTTGATGAGGGAAAGGAAACATTTTTTAAATATTTTAGAATGTCAACAATGTTTTCACTTATGCAACAATTCCACATTATTAATTAAGAGATTTTATTCAGTACTCTGCTGTTGTCGATAATCTGTTCTTTTCTCAGCTTGTTCACGTTAAGTACTGAGATCTGGTTATTGCTGATCTGTTTGAACGAAATGAGCTCTTATCAAAACTTGACTTTTTGCTTTGTGTCCTCATTTAATAGTATTAAAGCTCTCTGATTATTATCTGATTTGTTTTTAAATCAATAAATCACTTTTTGTTTCAAGTTAAAAGTTTTGATCGTCTTTTCTTCTTTTTATCCCTCTCACCAAACGCTTCTAAAACAATGGCGCCATAGAGATAGGCCACCCCTTCGACTTGTGTCGTGTCGCGGGGACAGGAAATTTGAACCACCTTGCCATTCTTGACACTTGTATTCCATGGCATTCCCCATGAAGCTAGTTCAGCTCCGGAGTCCGACTGGAGCAACTTGAATTCTTTAGCCCAAAATGTTGCTCCACCCTGGTGCATTGCCCTGGTGCCCCCTATGAAACATTTGTGAAAGGGATGAGGCTTGAAAAAAGTTACAGAGTTTGGCTGAAATACAACTGGCTTTATTCAAACACAAAATGATTGGCAGATGGAATTGGACCAATTACAGTAACTATAAACACATCTCTAAGAAAGGAACATCTTAATCTAAGGGATCTCACAAGTTTAATGGATCTTGACATCATAACCATTCACAGCTGACTGACTAGGTACTCTGAGATTTAAGATGTTCCATTGTGAGCAAGGTACAGATCCAATATCCTATGAAAAACAGATAAACGTGGCAAATAACAGTCCAATATAACATGTAAGAAAAATGACAAAAATCACTAATCCTGGTTAAATAAAAGCAAAATTTCTCAAAAATTCATTATATGAAAAAAATAATAGTTCAGGGAATTGCAAAAGTTTTGTTACATTACCGGCACAATAACAAGCAATGAGAACACAAGAACTACATAGTTTCAAGTTATTATTGCTCAATGTAGACACAAAATCACATTGGCTTCACACACAACCATTTCAACAACATAAAATCAACAACCCACAGTCTGGATGTTAGAAGAAAACCAGAGTTGGCAATGGCTAGTGTTACATTTGATTACAACTTACTTAAAATGAATAAGCTCACCAGGAGATGCACCTCTAGTGCGAAAGCAAGGAACTAGAATCTGGCTGAGAGCCCTAGTATCCATTTGTTTCAATGCACAGACCTGCAATCTCACTTGCAACATGCACACAAACACACCCACTGTATTGCTTTAAAAATATTAAGAGCAGACACAAGTAAACATAATGCTACAGATTTCTTTACATATCAAATCAGTACAAGCAGAATTCTAGGAAATACTGCATTATACATAACTGGTAAAGATGAGGATCTAGACAGCTAGGTATATAAATAAAATTGATCAAAATTAGTAATCTTTGAAATCCTAGCTTCTCACCAAAATGGTATTTTAAGATAAGAAAATAATACCTACAAGAAATCAGGAGTAGGACAAAGTAACAAACCCCTTCTTCCAAAGTCTTTTTCTAATCACTCAAATACATGACGCACCTAACAGAACATGCAGCTGTAATCTTAATGTTTAGAAGTTTAAAGTACACATCATCGGTAACCTTTTCAGCTTTCAATTTTAAGAAAAATTGCAAAATTCATAGGAACTCTAGGAAACTAGAACAAACCATGCAAAGACAGAGAAAGCAAGTAATGATTACACTATAAAAGTTGGCTTATCAAAATTTCTTACTGTTCTAAAGGTTCAAAAAATAAACAGAAAAATATAAATGAAGCAAGAATAAGATTACGCAGGGAAAGAGCGCTAGAGCAAAGTAACAATAGAGATATCAAACTAATCAAAAGTTTTTCAATTCAACCATTGGCTAAAAAAGCAAAATGCAGCATGAAATATCACTGGTTGTTTGGTCAAAGGAAATCTTAAAACAAACACATTACATAAAAATTAATTTCCTGGTCTGAAAAGTTCACATTTGTGTCATGCTGATGCACTGTCACAGCATTGAGCACACAGAAAATGCGGGTATTGGCACAACTAAATGACCGAAAAATTTACTGGTATTCAAGCAAATTTTTCTTGTTCTGAACATTAACAAGGCAAATGCAAAATTGTCAGGACAAGTTGAAGCAGTATTGGGATATATAATTATCTATGTGGTCAAAGGTATCATGGTCAATAATACTGCTAATCTTATATCACTGTCTTTGGAGAAATAAATGGTCAATTACCCATAAAGCCTATAAAAGAGGATGGTCACAACTCTCGGCTGAGAATTTAACAGCCACTAAGTGAGTGCAGCAATTAGCCGTACAATATTTTTACAAGTCCAACTACTAACACATGATTCATACCCTATTTTGCCTCAAGCTCAAAAACAAATCTACTGGACTAACTGAAATAAAATCCATCAAAATAAGATTTGACATTGGTAAATACCTAAGTATAAATGCATTCATAAATATTTGACTCTTTATTAAATAGGGCAATACACAAAATATTATCTTTAATCTCTGATTAAGAAAAGTTGCAAAACACCAAATCTTGAAGTAATTGATTATGTCACAGTGCTGTACTACCCAGTCTCTAGCTATGCATACTAAATGTTAGTTTGTGACAAGATGGGGTGAAATGCAAATCTTTCAGCAACAGTCAGTTCATTTTCATCATAAGAAAACTTTTGATTCAAAACCAACAGCCAGGCAAGTCCTGAGGAAATAGACTAAAATGCATAATTCCCAAACGCAGAAAGCAAAAATGAAACCAATGGATATAGGTTAGAACGTAAGATCAATTTTCTGAATTTAGTCTTTCCAATCTTTCTTGATATCAAAGCACCACTCCCATTTCAGGTGCTCATGCTTGTCATCGTCAGTGAAAAGTGACTGGACAGAGTAACTTCCACGAGCCATCATTCCAGCAGGTGCTTCTTCGGCAGGGGTTGTGTAGGACTGTATCTCCGTCTTGGGTGGGTAACTTCCGACCATATGCGTCATTTTATCCACTGAAATGAAAAGTAATATGATAGTAACACATTCCCTGGACTCTAGGACTCTAAATGACATGACTGGGTACTGTTTTTATTGTCTTGAGTAAACATATGGAAAGATAAATTCGAATTGGTGTCTACTGTTAAACACTACATGTGCCTTGCTTAGCAGTGAACTACAACAAGCATGAAGTCTCCTTTTACAACTCACCCACAGTAGCAGAGCTTACTGTTCCGATGAAAAAAGGAGTAGAGGCAAGAGAGAAACTTTAGAAATAAATAATTGAATTGGAATCTACAGAAACAATCATGGCATGGACATGAACAAAAAATATTGAGTGAGGATGACTTAAACTGTGAAAACAATTACAAAAGGCAGATACAGAGAAAAAGTAATTTAAATTTCCAATCATTAAAATGAAAACAAATTTTTAAAGCAAAGAATAATTCCAGAGCTGGGGGGCCTTCCAAAATTCTTTAACACTTAATAAAATGAAGTGACTCACCTGGGACACCCATTCTGTAGGTCTTTTGAACATACTTGAGACCATGGACAATCTCTCGCTGGACAATGAAATCAATACGAATCTTGTAAGAGACTCCCTCTTTGATGGTGAAGACCTATGATGACAGAAAGGAAAACAAGACAAATAAATGATGACTTCGAGGTCATAAGTTAAAGAGGACGTCACTAGTGAAATCTTACTTGTTTTTTAAGCTGTGACACATCACCACTGAGGTCCAATTCCATGTCTGGTCTATCCGGGACGCACAAAGCTAGCTTCTTCACAATAACTTTACGCTCATCATTGGGGTCTGCAGAGACACATTAAAATGGTGAATTAATTTACTATACCAAATTTAGGCGCTGAGAGCTAAGACAGTTGAAATACTGACACTGGCAGAGACTTACCGACCACAACAGCCCCCGATTTGGCATCCCCTAAAAGAGCTTCCTTGTATTTGCGGAGGCTCTCATCTTCCTTATCCGCAGCCATGATTTCCTCAATGCTTTTTTCTGGAGGTGGTTTATAGCTGGAGTCGACATCTTCAACATCTGGGGATTCCAGGATTTCTGGAGCCTTCTCTGAGTCAGCCATCTGAAACAATATAAGATATCCTTAAATTATGACATAGCACATAGTGCAAACTGGGCACTAGCATGCAGCAAACAACACAAAGCAAGAGCTCTGATTGGTTGAAGCTTTGCAAGCGCAGTGCTTTTGATCAAACATTGGCATGTCAAAACGAAAATAGAAGAGATAAGAAACCGTGGGGTACGCCCACGACGACGAAAATGCAAATAACCAGCAATGCTGAGCTTCAAAGTAACGGCACAACCAGGAAAAGTTCAGGCAGTGATCGAATGATCAATGGCAAAATAAGCACCGAATTTTGAAGAAATACATGAATGAAAGTAACAAATCATAGCAGGTTAGGTGCGAATGGACACGGCATTGATCTCAAAAATCAACTTACTGCGAATGGGTTTCAAAAGACCTGGCAGGAGAATTGAAAGGATTGGCGGAGCTGAAACGTCTTGAGGCGCAGCAACTCTTTAGGGTTCAGGGCCACACGCGGGCGTGTGTCAAACCGATGAATGAATTACGCCCAACCTCCCGTGGAGAATCCTGTTTTTCTATCCTTCTTTCTTCTTTTCTTTCTCTCTCACTCACAGCCCGTCCCCCTGCTGCGAGGCTAGGTTTTAGGTTAGTGTTTGGTATGAAAAATTTCGCTTGTACGATCAAGCAGCGGGGGGAGGGGAGGGGAACGGGGATAGTGGAGGCTGCCGTGCACTCCTTACAGTGGATATTGACGGTGGGCTGACGGCTATCGTCCGCGGTTTCAAACCCGCTGGGTGATGGTTCGAGGTCTGCCTCATGTTTTGTTTCGGGCCGCGTTAGGCCTAAGCGTTACCGCGTCAAATCTGTTTCGTTTCGATCTGTTTTTCCCACCATTTGAGTGTTGGTGTCAGAGTTCCAGGTTGGCTGGACTTCCCCGCCGTGGCTGGAGGTTTCTAATATTCATCGTTTCAGATTCATCGATTCAGAGAAATTGCCGAGAAACGGAGAGAAACCAAACGCTGTATTGATACATGAACCTTCCAATGACAATTGAATGATCGTGGATGCGGAATGCGGGTGGAGACCAGCCGCGCGATAACATCCGCACTATCGCAAATACTGCAATTACACATTGGTTTATCACGGGGCGCGCAGGGCCGGGTAAACAGAAGAATCGGTTTGTCGCTCTGTCTCTGTCTCACTCATTGGTCTCTTCGTAAGGGCGCGAGAGAGACAGAGCGGCAGGAAGAGCGCGACACATGGCGGGGGCGCGCGCCACGGCCAGCATGCGCGCCACGGCCACCATGGCCACCAAACGCGTCATGCTCGCGGAGGGGTGTCGCCCACGGCCACCCTCGCCATGGCCAGCCCGGCCAGCCATGGCGTTCCTGCGAACGGCGTGCTTCGCGATCCTCCCTCTGCTCGTCTCACCCAACTTGACGTTCTACGAGGAGCTCTGCCCGCTGCCGGCCAACGACGGCCCCGCGAGTAGCAAGCTGGCACCGCCAGTGGGCCGCTGCGACTTCGACGCCAACTCGCTGGTCGTCATGGAGGACTTCGACATGGAGGAGGTGAGGCAGCGCGACGGTTTCTCGCGCGTCCCGTTGTCGCGGTGGTCTCGTCTTGCCTATTGCCTACTTGCTGTGCACTGCTGCGCAGTACGCCGGCAGCTGGCACGAAGTCTACGCCAGCGGCAACCCTCGCAACTGTAGCACGCACGTGTTCGCCACCGCCAGCGGCGCCGTCACGTACTTCGAGAAGGACTACGACTTGAGGTACGCCAGCGTACGCCAGTCATGCTGCAGCTCGCGGCACGCGGGCCAGGAGTAGGCGGTGGTTGACGTCGTCCGTGTTGCAGCACGGCAACGTACCGGGCGATCCAGGGCAGGGTGCAGAGCGTGGCCACAGCACAAGTGTTGATCCGGCGGCCGCGCGTGGTGGGGCTGGAGACCTACTCGATCCTGGACACGGACTACCTCACCTACGCCATCGTGCACACCTGCACCGTGCTCGCGAGCGGTAAGGCGCCTTGGGGGCGTCGGGTGACGGATGAGTAGCGTCCCATTTAGCGCCTTGGAAGCTCAAAACGTGTCCAGGATTTGGACCGCCTCTACCGGTCTTCTGACCCACTGTGCGCCGTCTCGCACGCCGTGATCCTGTTCCAGAGCCGGCGGCGGTGCGGGTGCTGAGCCGCGACTACGTGCTGCCGAGCCGCGTGGCCGAGGCCGTGGACGCCGTGCTGCTCAGAAGCTTCAGCTTGACTCGCGACGAGCTCACTGCCACCGACAACAAGGGCTGCATTCCCGACACGTGCCCGCCGGTCGGACCCACCGCGCAGTACCTGGACCTACGCCAAGTGAGCGAATCCCTATCCAGGAATCCAGGCGAACCATGGCCATGGCCAGGAGACAGTGTCGCAGCGTCGCATTCAGTTCGCAGGGTGGTGGCACCAGCTCATGATCCTGTCCAAGGACCCTCCGCAGACCGCCATGCCGAGCTGCACCAAGTGGCTGCTCACGCCCGCGCCCAACGACAGCGTGTTCCTGCAGCGGGAAGTCCCGAGCAAGGACCAGAACCAGAGCCCCCGGCGCCTGCCCACCCTGGAGGCGCGCCCCGACGACCCGCTGGCCGGCGACGGCCACTTCAGCATCCAGCAACGGCTGGAAGGGGGTGAGCCGCCGCGTAGTGGATTTGCCAGAAGACCGGTGGAGGTGGATTTTGAGCTCCAGAGTCGCTAAATGGGGCTCAAACCGAACGTGCGACCACACCCATGAATTGTACTCCAAACAAGAATTCCTTTAGTGGAGTCTCACGTTCGGTTCGAGTCCCATTTAGCGACTCTAGAGCTCAAAACGCGTCTAGAGTTTTGGCCGCCTGCGCCAGTCCCCTGGCCCACTGCGAGGCGCCGTATTGCACGATGTTTCGATTTTTGCGCCCCGTCGGTGATCGAACCCTTGACCTTCCCGCACGCCGCGCGCAGCCTCGTCGACAGTGCGCTTCGACGTCCTCGGCGTCGACTACCAATCGTGGGCGCTCGTCGCGGTCTGCAACCACACCTTAATGAGGAGCAACTTGAACAGAGCCGTGGAGAGTAAGTCGCGCAGCAGCGCAGCAGCGAGAGGGATAGCACAGTGGGCCAGAAGACCGGCGGCCAAAACCCTACACGCGTTTTGAGCTCCAGAGTCGCTGAATGGGACTGGAACCGAGCGTGTGGCCCCCACCAATGGATTGCTCGTACGGAGAGCAACCCATTGGTGGGGTCACACGTTCGGTTCGAGTCCCGATTAGCTATTCTAAAGCTCTAAACGCGTCTAGGGTTTTGGCCGCCTCCACCGGTCTCCTGGCCCACTGTGGGTTGGGTTTTAGTGGCGGACATTCATACTTTCGTAATGCCCAGTGTACACGATACTCCTGTCGCGGTATCCCTTGGTGGACTCCGTACCGTGGAGCGAGCTGAGGGACACCCTGGCTCGGCACGACCTGCAGGGCCTCCACCGCGAGGTCACGTCGTCGATGTCGTGCCCTTCGCCGCGCTGCCTGGACTGGATTCCCGCCAAGGCGCCCTTCGACGCCGAGAGGGTCAGTTCCCCCACGGTCTTCCCTGCGGGTCGCCGCCGCTCCGTCTTTCGATTCCGCGCGTCATTTCTGTCGGCGTTTCGCAGTTTTTAGGATACTGGTTCGTCATGGAGCAGACGGCGACCAAATCGGACACGGGTTTCTGCGCCAAGCACTTGCTGAGTTGGGACAATAATGTTGGATCGCACGACGTTCATTTGGACATCATCCAGTACAAGAGGTAGGCCTGCAGACTAATCCACGAAAGTCCTGTCTCTGTCGCACTCACAGCCCGGCGGGGGCGTCCGCGCGGCAGCTGGCCGTAAACGTTAACTCGTTGTGCACAGGTCCCCCGGCGCCCTGAACGTCATACCATACCGGTTATCGCAGGACATCCCGTTCGAGGGCAAGTTCACTGTCGTGGAGCCCATGCCTTTCGGTCAGCTCAGCTCTGGTAAACCGTAGCGCGACTGCCTGCATCGGTGCGCAGAGCCTCCCAGTGCAGCCCTTGTTCTTGTGCTTGCAGACTCGTTCAAAACCTACTGGGTCCTCGACACCGACTACGAGAGCTTCGCCGTGGTGTACAGCTGCTCGGGGCCGAGAGAAGGTAGGCCTGCCGCAGTGGGCCAACAGACCGGTGGAGGCGGCCAAAACTCTGGACGCGTTTTGCGCCACTCTGGAGCTCAAAACGCGCCTAGAGCTTTGGCCGCGTCCACCGGTCTTTTGGCCCACTGTGCCTGCACCGCGCTCCGCGTCTGCCTGGTCCATGTGCGGATCGTTGACAGTGTCGTACCGTGCTGCAGAGCGCGTCTGGATCATGAGCCGCGTGCCGGGGCTCAGCTGGACGGCGAGCCGCCACGTCGTGGACGTGCTGGTGCAGAGCCACGTGGACGTCGCCGCGCTGCGCACGGTGGACTGGCCCGTCTTCTGCGCCACCTGGCCCGACCCCAGCGTGGACCCCGACGACCCCGACCGGCCGGCCGGCAGCCGCGCGCCCAGGACGGCCGGGACGGCGCTGCCCTCCGCCGTCGTCGCGGCCATCGCCATCCTGCTTACGGTGTGCCGGACCTGCCGGACGGCGGCTGCTTTGGCGCGACCCCGCCGCGTGCGGCGCCATCTACACTGATCGTCGTGAAGAAAACCAGGCAAATCGATGCAAGAGACACTCATTTATTTATGACAAGTACACCTATAACGGTTTAACAAAGGCACAGCGACGCCACACGACGCACTTGCATGTGACAAGATAAAAGTATGTTTCTATAATAAAACCGTAACTCTACCATTGAGCAAATGTTCATTATGACAAAATTTACATGGAGTCACTAGAAAGAATGGTTGGTCTTGGCTTTCACACTGGTCTGATGCTACATGGGAAAGTAACGAGACAGGTGGTTTGGTCCAATCCTGCTGAGGTCCTAAACAGCCCTTCCCTAAACAGATTCATTTCGGTACTCTCCAATCTCATTTAAAATATACCTACAGAATATACATGATTGGAACGTGATGCTACTAAATTGAAGTCTATTTGCAAAAAAAAAAGCTCAATCAATCAATTAATTAATAAATAATCAAATATTAAATAAGGACTCACATGTCACGTGGATCCTAGGTCTACGCGCACGATAGGGACATCACAGACAGATTCGCGGTTAGCCGCGAGCTAGTTGCGATCTAATCGCAGTTAACACGTTCAGTGCAAGAAAATCTTTACCTTTTTTTTTCGAAATGGCTTGATGAAAATGGTCCTGCCATCGCACTGGACATGCAAAGCAAGTGCACAAATAATCGTACCACCCGAGAGGACCAGGCATAAATTAAATAAATACAACGTTTTCCTTATAAATATAACTTGGCGACCCCATCACTAGCAAAAGCCACTGAAGAGCCAGCTGAAGAGGCACATGGACACAAGGGAAGAAACATAAGATGGGAGTGAAAACTAAATTTACATGGAGGATGGCCGTGTCTCTGGACACGTAAACAATAAAAAGTGTGAGCGCTTCTTCGAGCTCTGCAGAGAGCCAACCCCATGCGGCTCGGTGGTGCGGGCAAGTCCATCGCCAGGTGGCGGCAGCAAGGGCAACCACCAATCAGGTAACTTTGGCTGCGACGTCGCGGCCCGAGCGGGCGGGGCTAGTGGGCGGGGCCCGCAGCCGCAGGTTGCCACGGACTGCACGCCACGGCATGCACGCCACGGCGCACGGCCCGACAGTTCTGGCAAATTCGGCGCGTCGTGGGGGCGCTGGGATGCGCTGCGCTGCGCCGCGCTGGGCCCGGGGACGGGGAGAACGGGGAAAAGGGGGCGGGCCGGCCGGACGACGCAGGCACCACTTCCACTTTCTAGCGGCGGCCACTCGGCCACGCGGCCCGGGGGCGGCCTGGATGGCGGCCTGGGTGGCGGCGGGGCGGGCGGAGGCGGGGCGCGGGGCGCAGGCACCTGCAGGCACTCATCGCATGGCGAACAGCTTCCACCGCAGCACCGGGTACGCCACGAGCCGCAGCAGCACCAGGATGCCGGCCAGCACGATCAGGTCCACGTTGTACATGTTGCCGTCCATGTTGGCGATCTCCGTGAGGAACTTGGTGGGGTACTTGTAGTGGCAGTAGTGCTGCAGAGGGCAGAGGATTCAGTAAGGCACTGTCCCGTGACTTTGACCCTGGACGTCACACAGTGACTGTGCCCAAGTCAGTCGTTACTTACGAACTCCATGCTGGACGTGCACCCCAGCGTGGTGCGGTTGCGGCCGTAGATGGAGCCGACGTAGCCCTCGAGACCGTAGCGCAGGTAGGACACGTACGTGCCCCACTTGAGGTAGGCGGGCATGTCGCGCAGGCTGACGCCGAAGCCGGCGAACATCATCATGGGCACCGACAGCGTGGGCGCCAGGAAGGTGCCGTTCTGCTCGACAGAGACATGACAAATCAGTTTGGGCAAAGACATCGTGCGGTGCGCGCACAGTGTGCCAGAAGACACCAGGACGTACCACGACGCTGAACACGGCGCCTACGAGCAGGCCGAAGGTCTGTGCCACCAGCACCACCAGGATGCTGATGCCCAGGAACACCCCGAAGCGCACCCACTCCAGCGGCTGCGCGCTCATTAAGTACACGATGATGGTGAAGGCCGTGCAGCAAATGACCTGCGAGGAACAAACAAATTTTCATCACATCACACTAAATCACAGTCGCTGCGTTCGCATGTGGCGAACCTCGGGCCACACTCACCGATATCGGCAGTTCCAGAATGTTGATTGACATGTAGTACGACTTGAGCGAGTACCATCTGTTGAAGTGTTCTTTCCGTAGAATCTGCATTTCGGTGGGGACTGGAAAACCGAAACAAGATCACGATTAAGCACACGTTTTAAATTTTGACCAGGCGGTACTTCGAAACTGATTGGGGCGTACAGGTGAGAACGGTGAGCATCATGGTGGTCATCATGTGGTGCACGAGGATGGCGAACAGCAGGTTCCAGTTGTCCAGCACTCTGGAGCCCTCATCGCCGCTCTGCCAGAACAGGATGCCGAGCAGCACGCCGACGATAACGTTCACGAGCAGCCTCATGTGGGTCATGGTCTGCGGGGAGAAAAGACGTTGTCAGCGCCGAAAAGAAACTTTTTTCCTTTTTTCCCCGCGAGTCTTCATTCTGATAGGCCCATGTGAGCCTAGCATGACCCGCCGACATGCGTGGTCAGCCGCGGAGCGCTGAGAGCGCTGAAAGCTCAGCGCGGTGGCTTTCGGTGGCGCGACGCGATGTGCTGACCGCGGCCACGACGCGCCTCGCATGTCGCCTCGCCTCGCGCCTCGCCGCCAATCGCCGAAACCCGAGCAGGGCGCCGCACACGCCGGCCAGAAGACCGGTGGAGGCGGTCGAAAACCCCGGACGCGTTCCGAGCCCCAGAGTCGCTGAATGGGGCTCGAACCGATCGGGTGACCCCACCAATGGATTGCTCTCCGAACGACGACTCTATTGGTGGGGCCACACGTTCGGTTCGAGTCCTGTTTAGCGACTCTGGAGCTCAAAACGCGTCTAGATTTCTGACCCACTGTGCGCCGCGGCACCGCACCGCCGTCCCCTCACCTGGTCTCGCTTGATCTTGATGTAGCCCCGGTTGAGCAGCACGCCGACCTGCCGCATGGTGGTCACGTCCTGCAGCGCCGTGTTGAGCTCGGCCATCTCCAGCATGTTGGGCAGCAGCTCCACCGACAGGCGCCGCGCTGCGAGGCAAAACAGTGGCGTCAGCGTTTGTCGCAGTACAGCGTCCCGGCCTGCAGGGCGGCAGAGCGCCGGGAGAGCCGCCGCTCCCGCGGTACAGCAGCGTACCGCGGCGGCCTACCCTCGCGGCGCTCCGCCGCGCCGGGCCGCGCCGGGCTAATGACACACGCGTCAGCCACGTGGCGGGCGCGCGGCCGCACCCTAACCATCAGTTTCCAGGTACGGCGTCGGCCTGCACCCGGGCCTCGATGCGATGACGTCACCCCCGCGGCCACCGAGGCGCCAAAGTCCACGTCGTTTCATCGTCGAGCGTATGGCCCGCCGGCCCGCCTCCGAGAATGAGGTGCTGGAAGCGGCGAAGCGGCGAAGCGGCGGCCGCACGGCCCGTCACTCCAACGCAAACGGGCAATCAGCAATCGGCGAGCCAAACTCACCTTCGGACTTCCGCCTCTCGACGACCACCTCGTTGTGGTTCTCGAACCAGCGGCTGCTCTTGCCGTTCTCCGTGCCGGCCACCAGCATGTCGATCTTGTCCTCGCCGTGCTCGCCGCACGCCAGCTCGATCACTGCAAGCGCACACAAAAAAGGCCATTAGCTTTGGGACAGTCGTGGGTTTACACTTCGTTTTTTTTCTCTATTCGCCAATTGTTCCAAGTGTTGCTCGCCGAGGAGGTAGCCAATAAAATAACGTGGCACCGAGCCACCGGGCAAATTTGTGCTGACGTCCGCGCCGCGCCCGCGCGTCTCCATGCGAACGTGGACGTAAACAGTCAACAAGCCAGCGCGCAGCAGCGCGTGTGCACTCTCCGCTGCACCATGGCTCCACCAGGCTCACCGAAGTCGGCCGGGTTGTGGAACAGCGGGCAGGGCACGCCGATGGTGGCGAGGTAGGGCACGATCTGCTTGGTGGCGCCCTGGTACAGGCAGCGGCCGCGCGCCAGCACGTAGACGTGGTCGAACTGGTCGAAGAGCGAGGCTGAGGGCTGGTGGATGGTGCAGACGATGGTGCGGCCCTGCATGGCCAGCAGCTTGAGCAGGTTCACGCACTGCGAGGTGGAGGAAGAGTCCAGGCCGCTGCCGGGCAGAGAGGACAATTAGCGGAGGGCAGCACACTATAGGCCAGAAGACCTGTGGGGACGGCCAAAATTCTAGATGCGTTTTGAGCTTTAGAATCGTTAAGCAGGAGTCGAACCGAACGTGTGACCCCACCAATGGATTCCTCGTTCGGAGAGCAAGCCATTGGTGGGGTCACATGTTCGGGTCGAGTCCCATCAGCGACTCTGGAGCTCAAAACGCGTCCAGGAGGTGGTAATTCCCGCTCGGACATTGTAATCACCGCGCGGCACTGTAAGTGATTTAAGCGCGGCCCCCGACCTTGACCCTGCCGGGTGGCGGCAAGAACAAGACAATGCTGCGGCGGTCCAGGCCGTCCAGGCGCAGCGCAAGCGCAGGCACCGTGCAGACAGTAACGAGGGCTGCAAACTGCTGGACGTGCAGAGACGTCAGTGTTTGGTCGACAGACTTACGACAGCTGGGTACACGTGTCGCGACAGTCAAGCGGCCCTGGACCCACGGCCTCAGCCGCCGAGACCAGCGTGGGTTGGAATCCGAACGCCGGTGGCGAAAAAAAATGCACGGAGGGTATACTCACGTGGTGGGCTCGTCCAGGAACATGAGGAGGGGGTTGTTGATGAGCTCCAGCGCGATGGAGAGGCGCTTCTTCTGGCCGCCGGACAGCCGCCCCGTCCGCGTCTCGGAGTGGTGCTTCAGGCCCAGCGTGTTGAGGATCTCGTCGATCTGTCGGGGAGACGGCCGCGCCGGGTGAGCGGGGGTTCGAATCGCTCAATCGAGTCGTTTTTTCCGTTTCGGCGTACTTACGATGGGCTGGTGCTCGGTCCGGGGGATGGAGCCCAGCTTGAGCCGCGCCGCCAGGGACATGTTCTCCTGCACCGTGAGCAGCGCGTGCAGCCTGTCGTCCTGCTGGATGTAGCACGACATGCGCCTGAACCGGTCCAGGTTCCTCGGCCTGCCGTTCACCATCACGTCGCCGGACACGCCCGTTAACCTGGACAACAATCGAGCCAAGAGTTACCACAGGGCGCTCCAGCCAGACGGGCTCGGCTCAGACGTTTCCGACGTGTTTTCTTCTTCACCTGTAGCCGGACAAGATGTCCAGCAGCGTCGACTTGCCGGCCCCGGAGGGGCCCATGATGGCGATGAGCTGACTGGGGCAGAACCGTCCGTTGACATCGTGGATGATTTTTTTCTGGCCTGCAACACGCATTAAAGAAGGGACCGATCAGCCGAGCGATTCAGAAGAGTCGTTTTCGTCGCTCTGTCTCTCTCGCACCCACGGGGCTGCCGGTCAGGGCGCGAGAGAGACAGAGCGGCAGATCGCTACAGGCGGCGGGCGCGCGATGCTGCGGCCGGACGGGCCGGGCGGTGCAGGGGGCTTTCGTCAGCATGCTGCAGCCCCGCACCGCGCCGCGCCGCGCGGGGAAGGGAAGGGAAGGACGCCGTCAACACGTTACTCAACCTTCCGCGTGTTGGCCGGCACAGTCAACAACACATTAAACCATTACGGTCAATAATGGCCGGCCGAGCGATTCGCCATTCGGAGCGTGGAATGCGTGCAGCGGAGTGTACAGCAGTCGATCAAAACGCAAAACGACGCCAATCTTAAATTGTTGCAGCGGAATTCCCCTTCCCGCTCCCCGCCACACGGACAAGATTCTGCCCAGACGCCGCCCACACGTCACGTGACATCGACGAGACTGTTCGCGCCCTTTCGGCGGCGGGTCCCTTCACACGAGATAGGGAGAGCCTGGCCAGTGTTTGCGGACACCAGGAGGCGGGCCGCGCTGGTCGCGCTGGCTGTGCCGGCCGGGCCGCGTCTCACCGCAAACACATGACTCAACGCGGGGCCGGGATTGGCCGCCGGCAGCGCGCCCAGCCGAGCGGCCGAGCACGCCGCACAGTGGGCCAGAAGACCGGTGGAGGCGGCCAAAACCCTAGGCGCGTTTTGAGCTCCAGAGTCGCTAAACGGGACTCGAACCGAACGTGTGACCCCACCAATGGATTCCTGGTACGGAGAGCAATCTATTGGTGGGGTCACAAGTTGGGTTCGAATGGCCAGGCGAAGGGGCAGATCGGCAGTGGTCTTTACGAGTGTCGCGGAGGGGCTTAGCGCCGCTCCGTCACTGCACCAGGCTCTGCGGCCTCTTGGAACAGCGCCACTCGTACCGGATTTAAAAGCACCGCCTCGGCGGTGGCGGGGCCGTGCCGGGGCCGGCGGCTCATTGTCCAGCTCCAGGCTCCAGCTCCAGCCTTCCAGCCTCCAGCTGGCCGAGGAGGAGGCAGGCCGAGTGGCCGAACGAAGGAGAAAGTGACCGAAGCAGAGCGCGGCCCGCGCGGCCCGCCGAGGCGACCGCCGAGCAACAACAACAACAAAAAACTTCGAAGACAAATAATCGAGCGCGCCGCCGCTGCGCGCTGCGAAACAACGCTGAGCACACCGATAAACCGTGTGAATCTCAAACACGACGGCGACGGCGACCCCTCTGCATCACTGCCTGGGGCTCTGCGGAGCGCGGGGGGCGGCAGTGCGTCCAGTCAGCCCGCTCGCACACACACACACACACACGCGCGCGTCCTTCGAAGCGCTCGCACCCACACAGAGTCGCGGACACCGCGCGACGCCGCCGTCCTGCCGACGACGAGCCGGAGGGCTTCCTTGTTCAGCAGCGCGGCGGCCCGTGACGTCATCCGCTCCATTGAGGTGCTGCACGAGTACGTGCGCGGCGTGAGGCTTTGGCGTCCGTGACGAGGAGCGCGATGCAAAGCGTGCAAAGCACGGCCGGGAGGCACGCCGTGACTGCCGTGACGGGAATCGGGTTGTCCGCACAGTGGGCCGATGGATCTCAAAATGCGCCTAGAGTTTTGGTCGCCTGCGCCGGTCTTCCGGCCCACTGTGGCCCGGTACGGCCCCCGATACGCCCCCCCCCCCTTTCTTTGCCGGCCGCGCAGCTCAGTCCGTTCAGTTTCTCCCGAGAGAGCGGCGGTCCGGTCGTTAGCGTACAAAGAGGGACGCGAAAAGCGAGGACCACTCTCCGGCGGGACTCGAACCCGGGTAGGGCGGGGCACGCTCGGATACACGTGGCGCACGACGAAGCGATGCCGGCAAAACGACTCGCCCGGACAAGCAGGGCGCATACTGCAGCGCGGCGCGGCTGTGCTAATGGTGTGCCCCCCCCCCCCCCGCCCCGAGAGCGTCTACGCATTGTGTGCAAATGAGCCGGCCGGCGTGGACAGCAGTCCTGTTGACAACTCGACTGCGTTCGCTACGAATTAACGTTAGGCGTCGCCCCGCGCATCTCTCTCTATCAACTGTTTCATTCCGCTAGGTCGCGGCGTCCCCACTCCAGCCTAGCCCCAGCCTAGCCCCGTCGTGGACGTCCACCGCTCATCCAATTCCGCGTCCGATCCCCGTCCTGGCAGTCCTGGCGCGCTCCTGTTTGGTGCCCCCCTTTGTCCGGCAGGCAGGCAGGCAGGCGGGCGGGGCTGGCAGAGCTGGCGGCCGCCACAACACACGACACCGCGGCGGCGGCGGCCCGCCAAACTTCGCACCCGTCCGTGCGCACCGAGCCGGTTACGCGTCGCCGTAAAACTGGCGGTCGCGGCAATGACCGCCGCCAAAACAGGGCGAGCGCGCGCGCCGGCCACCGGGGCTTCCCTCCAGGCAGGCCGCCGTGCGCCGCCGTGGCGCTGCAGCGCGCTGGTCCACTCACCTTTCCGGAAGCCGAGGCTGACGGTGTAGTTAAGGTCCTGGAACTTGACCTCCACGGGCTCGCGCTTGGGCAGGTGCGACAGGGTGATGGTGGGGCTGCCGTTGACGCGGGTCGGGCCGGCGGGGACCTCCGCGACGGAGGGGGCCTCCACCGCCTCGCGCATCACGGACTCCATACCGGTCTCACTTTCACTACACTACACTCCACGGTCCACTGTCCTCTGGCTGCTTGCTCCGCGGCTCCGCTGCTCCGCTCTGGCCGCGCGGCGGGCGTGGCGGCGTGGCGGCGCGCTGCGGAGTGGCGGTAAGGCCCGGCCTGGCGGGCTGCCTGACGGCGCGCTTAGCAGCTGCGGCGGCGGCAGCAGCGGCGTGCAGCGGCGGTCGGTGACATCATCGGGCTGCAACAGAGGAGCAGGGCATTTTATCAGTCACCAGTGTGGTACCTCGCCAATATTATTCGCCACAATGTCACGCCGTCTTGTTGATGCGCGGCGGAAGACGCACACGTCCCTCCTCTCCTCCCTAATCGTGCACGACTCATTGCCTGCCGGCGCGGCCGGCCTGCGCGATGACCCAGATCAAGCAGGCCCTGCCGGCCAGCCGCGGCACCCATGCAAAACACGGACTTGACGCCCACGGCCAGCACTATCTCCCGAGTCGCCACTCCCGAGTCGCCACCCTGGGCCCCGGCGTGGCGGCGCGGGGCTGTACGGGGCGGCGGCACCTAGAGATGCTACCACGCTGGGAAACACGCTCGACCCGACGGCCAGGCAGGCAGGCAGGCAGGCAGGCAGGCAGGCAGGCAGGCAGGCAGTCTGACCCACGCGGCCGCGGCCCCGGGCGGCGAGCAGTAATCCACAGTAATGTCGGCCAACGCACTGCCAATGGTGCCCAACGCACTGCAGCCGAGTCGATGACACTGGGACCGGGGCAGGGGCGGCAACGGCCTCGGTTGCCCCCGACGGCGACGCCGACGACGCGGTCTTCCCGCGCCCCGGGGCTACTGCTCTGCAGTGCTCTGGAAACCACACGAAACTTTCCCACCTCCGCTCCGACGCGGACCGTTTTGTGACCGCAGAACACCCTTGAGGCTGCGCTGCGCGGGCTGTGCAGTGCGTCGTGGAACGCACCCCGCGGCCCGCGGCCGTGACATGCGGTTCTCGCGGATCCGAACCACGCCCGCGGCGGGGACCGCGTCAGGCAGCAGCCGCCAGCGGCAGCCCCACATGAGCGAAAAATGGTAGCACAGCGGGTCAGAAGGCGGTGGAGGCGGTCAAAATCCCAGGCGCGTTTTGAGCTTCCGAGTCGCTCAGTGGGACTCGAAACACACGTGTGACCCCACCAATAGATTGCTCTCCGAACGAGGAATCCATTGGTGGGGTCGCACGTTTGGTTCGAGCACTGCTTACCGAATCTGGAGCTCAAAACGCGTCCACCGTTTTGGCCGCCTCCACCGGTCTTCCGGCCCGCGGAGTACGCACCCGTGTGTGACGATTTAACGAACGCCGGCATGCAGGCCGCGCTGCTCGGCGCTGCCGCACCAGCTGACGCGCTGACGCACTGCATGGCCTGCATGGCGGCCCGCCTGGCCGGCCGGCCCGCTGACCCCGAGGCGACAATTATTCAGCGGAACCCGTGTCGAGTAACCTTTGCACCGCGTGCTTGTGCTCGCTGCCTCGCTGCCCCGCTATCGGCCCGATAACACGGCCTGCACGGCCTGCACGGAGTTGGGCACGGCACGGGACTATTATTAAAGACTTAAGCCGCCGCTTTCGAATACACGCGGCCGGGCCGCTCATCGGCGTGGCGGCTCCGAAAAAAGGTGCGCGGCCCCGAGAGTGATGAACGCCTACAATGGAGACGGGACGGCGAAGACAGCGCGGCGGCGGTCTGGCTGCCGCGGGTTCGGTTAGGCGGGTCGCGGCCCCCGCGCCCGCGGCGTGGGATTCAAGTTCGGGGCGAGGCACTTGGAGGTGTGGCACACTGCAATCGGCGTGGAGAGCACACGCGCCGCAGCTTGCAACTCCGCCCCGCCCCGCCACAAGCCGGATTCGATAAGACGACGAGTGTTTTGCCTGTTCTTGACGGCGGCGAGGACCGCCGCACCACCACGACGCAGTACGCAGTTCCCGAGTGCACGCGCACAATTATCTTGGGCACTCGAAGACTCGGAGGCGCGGCAATTCGAACGGCAGCGGCGGACTGTTTCCGAGAGTCGTTTTCGTCGCTGTCTCTCTCGCACCCACACGGGACGCCCCACGAGTGCGCGAGAGACAGAGCGACGACAACGACTCTCGGAACCAGTCTGCGGCGTCGTGACACTGGAGGGCGGCCCGGCCCCCAAGGCCCCCAATTCCCTCGTCGCACGCGCCAATAGTCCACGATTCGTCACGACACTGTCGCGCTGTCGCAGTCACGCCCGCGTCACGTGCAGCCTGTTTGGCGGTACGAAGTCACGCCGCCCGTTTTCGTAATGCGTCGCCAAGACGCGCTGCGCTGAATGCCGGCTTCCGGGCGCGCGCGCGACAGAGAGAGAAAGAGAGAGATAGAGGCAGAGGCGCCGATAACGCATCGCGGACTCGCCGGCCGGCGTGGCCTGGCCGCGCGTGCGGATGGATGGGATGGGTCAGCCCTTTATCGTTTTGCCACCACGAGGGCTTCCTCAAGGGCCAGAACAACAAATTGGGAACGAGCAGCGCGACGCCAACGCGAGGACGCCGTCGACGGACGGGCGTTCGAGCAGGCGGCTAATCCTGAAACCTGTTTCGTCGCCATCACCTACTGGTCCTTGATCGTGGAGCACATCACCGACCTGGCCAAGCGGCCAAGGACGCTTCCTGACAAACTTTTCCAGCCGCTTTGGGACGATGGCCGATGAACCTCGCCTCTCCGGATCCGGGCGGCGGCCGCGTGGTTTGACCGTTGCGTCAGCCCGGGTACCGACGGACAGCGCGCGTGCCTCCGTGCCGCCCCGTCTCTGGCCGGCGGACCGATTCCAGATGTCTCTCTCGCACCTGCACGCACGAGATCGCAGTGCAGCGAGTCTCATGCTGTGCGCGAGGCGCGACGAGCACGAAGAAGACAAAGCGACGAATCAGCCATCAAGCGCTCTTGTAACTTGTACGACTTGTAACTTTTGAATCCTTCATAAAACAAGTTATCCTTCGTGCTTCTGGACTTTGACTGCGGAATCTTTCAGAACGATGTTTAACAAGGAATTTACCCATTAAACCTGCTTCTGTCCTCATGTTACGGTCTTTAACCCACGTTCGTGTAATGATACGTGATAAGGATGCCTGCCAGGAGGGCCGTCGGAGACTGACACGCCGGCCCGGGCCTGGCCGGGCTGGGTGACGGGGTCATCAAGCTAATTAGCATGCCGAGTCATCTTGACTTTCTTCGACCGTTTCGGCTTTGGCCCGCCCCGCCGGCCGGCGGCCGGGCACGGCAAGGTGGCAACGTGACGCCCGCCCGGCCGCCGAGAGGACAAAGAGGACGCCGCCGTGCCGGCTGGACCGGGCTGGACCGGCAAGGCGGCAGTCCCAGGCAATCCGCCACCTCGTGTGCATTTCCATGCCCGTTGACACGTTCATCGTCCGGCCCGGCAGGCCGGCAGTGTTGTCCGTGTTGTCGTAGCCCTGCTGTTTGTTTTGCCGGCGATCCTGAGCCGAGGCTTGAGTCTTATCCCGGCCGGCAGACACCGCCCTGCCGCTCTGCCTGGCTCTGCCCACCGAGATTAGGGCTGACCTCGGCGACCCCGCCGGCCGGCGCGCGGACGCCGAGCGCAGCGCGCGCAACGCCACTCTGCACGTGCGGACGCGCCTTGCCGCGCCGCGCCGCCGGCCGGCAGGTTGCTCATTTGCATAACCGCGTCCAACGAAAAACATTGAGTGCCAATCGATTCCGCGACTCCGAGGGCCCATTAGCCTTCATTGCAGGCTTCATTGCCGGCGGTGCAGTATGGGCGCGCCGTGCACTTTTTACGTCGTTCAGTTAAACGCTGCCATCCAACACCGGGCAGTGCGAGCAGTGCACGTTGCACGTGCCTTCTGTACAGCGCTTCAGCCGCCTCGCCGGCGTCGCTTCGCCGTCCGGTTGGCAACCCGGTCGGAGTGTTGCCGCGGTGGCGGCGGCGGCGGTGACAGCGATGCAGGAAAAGTGCTGTCCGAGACAAAGACGCGGTCCCACACGTCACCGACGGACGGACAGCCGATACGGGGCGAGCCGGGCGGAGCGGGGCCCCGAGTCCAGCCGAGCCGCGCCTGGCCGCGCCAACGCACCAAGGGAGCCGGGCCGGTGAGGAAGTGGAACTTCCCTGCGCTGCCATGGCGCTACCCGTGCTCGGCAGGGCAGGTCGCAAGTTTGGGGCTTCGCGCACAGCGCGCGCTTGTCATTGTCTCCCGGTCGCGGCCAAGCTCGACCGCAGCAAAATCTCCGCAGGCAGTGAATTTACCTCGTAGACGGCCTCGTCGTGCAGCAGCTCGTCGTCGCGCGGTCCCAGCTAGCGCTGTCCGACTAGTGTCAGATCCTGCACGCACGCACTGCACTCGCACTGGCACTGTCGCACTGATGCCGCGGCGGGGAGAGGGTGGGCGTCGAACTCGCGGCCGGACTAACAGTGGACCGACTTCGTGTTGCGTCGCGTCGCGTCTCGGCGGCTCTTCTCTGCCTCCACTCGACTGTGTCGTGTCTGAGCGCCGCCCGGGTTCCCCGCAGACTGCAGACTGGCCCGCTGGGTCTGCCCTGGCCGCCCCGCGCCCCGCCAGGCTTGCCGCCAGGCCCGCCAGGCCCTGGCCTGCCCTCACTCGGCTCCGCGCCGCGGGGGGGCGGGGCGGGGCGGGCGGCGCGGGCGGCGGGGGAGGACCGGCCGCCCCGCCTTCGCCGCCAGGTAGGAGGGAAGTCCTCGAGTTCTGGGCGGCCACGCCGCGGACCCCCCATCCCGCAACAGCTGATGAGTGGTCCACGCGGCTCCCAGCGACCGACTTGGGCCGAAAATTACTCTGTGAACCGGGACTTCCCTGCCGCCGCCACCCGCGACGCTCTCCGTCCGTGACGTGGAGCAGCCCCGTGGAGGCCATCACGGTGGCGGCACCTAGCCGACGGTTCGCTCCGGGAAGACGACGCGGATGGCCGTCGTGAGCACGGCGTGGTTTTCCCTCCGCGGCGCCAGCAGCGCCAGCGCAAGCATTGCGTCACGAGGCGCCGGCGGGAGGCAGTGCCTGGAGCCTGGAGCCTGGAGCCGCCTTCCAGCGTCCCAGCGTTCCAGCAGCCGGGCCGCGGCGCCGCGGATGGCCGGACTAGACGGTCCAGCGCGGGGCGGCGGCGGGGCCGCGAGCAGTCGGATCCGCGTCGGGTCCTCGCGGCTCGGCTGGGCTCGGGCGCGCGGCGCGCTCGGCTCGGCAAGGTCGTTCTTGGCGGGGTGCAGTGACCGCAGCGTTGTGCAGCTCTCGGATAATGGCTTGGGGCTTGGGCGGGCCGCGCTGGCCGCGCGAGGGGAAGGGGAAGGGGGACGGGGTGGAAGTAGGGCGTTTGTCGTGCCTATCTAGTTGTAAAGGGGAAAGGGGCCGGGCGGCCGGCAGGCAATCAGCCAGCCCGCCGAGGAGTCCCTGCGCGACGGGATGCGAGGTCCCTGGGGCGTCGCGGTGCAAGGCCACCCCGCCGGCCCCTTGACGGCCACCTGCCGGCGGTAAGGCGGTACAGTACCGGCCGCGGCGCGGATACCCGGGCCTGGCCGCCTGGCCGCTCACACACTCAGGCGGTGCGTAACGCGGCGATAACTACAACGACGTATCTCGAACGGCAGACAGAAAACAAACACGACGGCGCGCAAACAAATTACCCGCGCGAACCGACGGCCCGGCCAGCGACTAGGGACCGGCCAGGGCTAGGCGAGGGCGGGCGCAGCGCCCAGCGCCACCGACACCGGCAGACTGACAGTCGCCTTCGTCGCTCTGCCTCTCTCGCACCTATACGGGACGCCCCATGAGTGCGAGAGAGACAGCGACGAAAACGACTCTCAGTCTGCAGCCGCCTGCTGCCGCGGCGTGCCATCATAGGCCATTACACGTCCTGGAAGACGAGTCGCGACGCGCCGCCACGCCGCCACGCCCCGCAGTCACGCACTGATACCCGAAGGCCGCCGTCGTGCCGTCAGTTGGCACGCGAAGACAAGCCGAAGACAAGCCGAAGACAAGCCGAAGGCGGCCTGAAGTGAACGCGGCGCCATTCAGTCCGTCTTACATCGCCGCCAGAGAATATCCTCATTGCCAACTCGATTTGGCTGCGTCCGAGGCAGTGCAGTGCCTCGAGAAGGCATTATCAATTACGCGTCGCCGCGGTCCGACGCGCACCAGCAGGCTGATTCCGCGAGTCGCTCTCGTCGCTCTGTCTCTCTCGCACCGATACGGGAGGCACCGTGAGTGCGAGAGAGACAGAGCGACGAGAGCGACTCTCAGTCCGCAGCGCGTCATGCGTGCGCAGTGCGGAGTGCGGGGGCAGCGGGTCGGGGCGGGACGCAGTCGAGGGGAAAATGGAAGTGAATCAATCGCCGGGTACAAAGGGTGGCGATAACTCCACTTATATGGGTGCGCTGCAGGCCGACTCCGAGCAAAGCATTCGTCGTCTCGCTCCCTCGCACCCCTGCGGCACGCGCCGCGAGTCGTGCGAGAGAGACGCCGCGACGAAACGACTGTCCGGAACGAGCCTGCAGGCTGCAGTGCAGTGCAGTGCAGGCCGTGGGAGACAAAGTCCGCGACCAGGAAACCAGGGGCGGAGCCGTCGTGTCGTGAGTCAGGCGGAGTCAGGCACGCCGCGCTGAGCAGTAGCAGGGCAGACTCATTCCGCGCGTACCGTCGCCCCGCTCTCTCGCACCCTTGCGGAACGGCCCATGAGCGCTAGAGAGAGAGAGATGGACCGAGACAGAGAGACCATGTTCAGAACCGGCGCAAAGTTAGTTAGTCGGTAGAGGCGGCCAAGACCCTCGACGCGTTCTGGCTGCAGGACTTGAACTGAACGTGTGACCCCACCAATGGATTTCTCGTTCGAAGAGCAAGCTATCGGTGGGGTCACACGGTCGGTTTGAGTCCCCTCTAGCGACTTTGGAGCTCAAAGCGTGCGGGATTTTAGCCGCCTCCACCGGTCTTCTGGCCCACTGTGCGACGGCGTGCAGGCCGAGGCGCGTGCTGGAGCGACGCCCGCTGCTGCTGTCGTTGTCACCGCCGTGGTATCGGGGCCAGAAATAAAGCTGCCGGCAGACGGACGACAACCTTCGCCCCCAGAGAGGTGGAGTTGAAAGGTGCGAGTGCAGAACTCTCGGACCGGTCACAGGTCGGGGCAGATAGATGTTGGGTTAACACCGATCCGCGCTCTCCGCGCACCGCCAGAGGCAAGCCAGAGGCCGATAGGAATAGGAGTCGAGTGTTTGTGGGCAAAGGGCGGGCAAGGTGCTACACTCGAGTGGGCCATCGAACACCGAAATCCAAAAGTCGGGGCTTATCGGATCGAAGGCGACGACAGGGCCAAACGTGGCGATGCGTAAGCTGTGCTCTACAGGCGTGGAGACAATGAGGGCGACCCCGTTCCCCTCCCCGCAGAGTGCGCGGAGAGAATACCTTGGAAAAATCTCATTCAACGAACGTTAATGAAAGCAGATGATCCGTCGCGTTTCACAACTGCTGTGATAGCCGAGAGGTTAAAGACGTGGGATTGAGTTACCGCAGGCCGGCGTTCGAATACCAGCGTCACATACGTTTTTTCGACTTACTATCCTAAGGGTGGTGGTTCGAGGCCATCCGAGCGGAGCCGTGTGCAACAGACCCACATGCCGGAGGTTCGACTCCTAACAAATATTTCCATTTAATTTTACTGCCTCACCCAGTGCGGTTGAAACCTGTGAACGTGAGCCCACTCCGTGCATGGGACGTGGTGGTCCAGGGAGTAGAGGCGTCGGTTCCCATTTCCAGGGTCGGCGGTTCGACTCCCCCAACTTCTTGCGAAATTTTGACCGGGTCAGTCGAGTTCTGTTGCTTCAAGAACCCACCTCACGCCGGTCCTCTCATCATGGGCCGTGGTGGCCGAGAGCGTAAAGTCGTGTGATCCCGGTGGCGGGGTCCGGGGATCGAATCTCATCATTTCGTTACATTTTTCGACTGCCTTCCTCCCACTGCAACTCAAACCCGTCGTCCAACACGCTGCCGGACGTACAAGCGTGATAGCGTAGTGGTCAGAGTCACATTCACCTGGCCACTCCGCTGTGGGTGTCTAAAAAGCAATCCGCTTCGGCGGGTTGGCCTCGGCACTGGAGCGATGGCGTATTTGATCCATCAATCCAGACCACCCGGTGTGTGGTTGCGGGTGGTGCCTCCTTGACTTGTTGGGGAGGCGATGATAAGTCCTTTGAAGCTGGCCTAAAACGCTGTATGTTCGGTACGGGAGCGCCGGACAGTGGGGGTACCATGGGGTACACAACCAACCCTACGAAAACAAGAAGCTCCCACCAAACCTCTTCTCTGTCTGAGTCTCTCTCTGTCTCTCTGTCGTCTCACTCTACGTCCCGCCCCTCAAAGAGCTTCGTACTGGGTGCTCCCACCCAGCTGCCTGAGCTTTGGGGTCCTACTGGGTCCCCCGGCGAACGCTTGGGTCGCTGACGGGATTAACCCCAGGTACCTGATAGCACCGGTTCCCATCCCGAACACCGAAGTAAAGCAGGAGGCCTCCCCATTATGACTGGGGAGGGGGTGTAGAGTTCAAATTTTTTTCTTTTCCCTTTCAAATTTCTCAGTCAATACTCGTTCGGTTTCCTTATACGGGGTAGTATGCGGGCTCATTCCAAAGATAGTAATTAAAAATTGTGTATGAAACAAAATATATAGACCCGAGCGAGGTGGCCGCTGTTGGTACTTCGGTACTAGCCGTGCCGAGCTGTGGCCTGCACGCCTGCACCGCCCGCCGCCGAGCCCGAGCTCGAGCTGGCCCGAGTGCCCCGGGCCGGGCCGAATCGGGAGGCATTGTTGCGCGATATTCCGCGCCGTGGCAGGCGGGGAGGGATTGTCAATGTTGCGCGCAGGCCGTGGCCGCCGTGGCAGGCCGTCGCGAGCGAGGAGGGGGTGCCATTGTTTACGCCCGGTGCCGCTGGCGCTGTACCGAGGAGGGATTGTCGAATCCCGCGCAGGCTGCGCCTCATTGCCAGCCAGCCACACGCACCAGCCCGCCCCGGCAGCCAGCCCCTATTATATTGTTTAGGATACGCGCTTCGTTTCTGGACTCGAGAGTAAAAGCACGCTGACACCTTCATGTGTATAGTAGTTTTAAGTATGTTTCAAGTGTGAAGGTATCATCTGCTAAAAACTTTGTTGATCCAACTAACAAATTAGGAATAAAGAATACATTGTTGGCATTACATGTTCGGTGGCGCCTAGCCGCAAGGGCCCAGCGTGCCCATCGATGCACATGCAGGGCCTGCCCCAGGCCTGCCGCAGGCCGCGAAGTGGAGCGTGTCGGCGATAGGCCGCCCAGCAGGCAGCAGGCCCAGGTCACCCAGGCCGCCCGCCGCCCAGGCAACTCGGGAGAGAGAACGCCACCGAATTGTGGAGCGCGAGCGCATAGCAGATTAGATAAACACAAAGTGCAGTGCGGGCGCTGAGTCGCAGAGATCGGCACCGAGGAGGGGATCGAAGTGCAGGCCAAACCGGTCCGGGCCCTCAAGTCGCGTGGATCCTTCGCGGCCCGCGGCCGCC